CATCATTTGAAATTTTCTAAAAACACAACCGCAAAAGCAGCAGTAAGTGCACGCAATAAGTAATTTCAGTACCTTGGACTTTTGCTTCCTTCTCGTCCAAAGAAACTTAGCCACACGACGAGTTAGCTTTTAAATTTTTCGCCCAACATAAAAATACCCATAACACGATGCAGCTATTTAAAATGCTGACACTTACACATTTACAGGTATGTGAAAATCGAACTAAAAGAGTGGAATCCCACTCTAGCCTAGGACTGATGCCCAAGTGTGGCTGTGCCGCCCTAGGGCCGGGGACCACGCCCCGCAGGGACCACACTCAGACCCAAAGTCGGGTCAGCAGCGCCCGGAACCGCGGGCGCGACCAGTTTGTACCCAGGGCGACGGCTGTCCGGGTCCCGCGAGTCCAGAGCAGAGAAGCGCGGAGGGCGCGACCAGGCTGCAGCCGAGGCGGGCGCACCTCTCCGGCCTGCCCGAGCCGCGAAGACGCAGCGGGCCCCTCAGCCGCCCGCCCGCCCGGCCGCGCCCCGCCCCGCCCCGCTGCGCCCCTCACCCGCTCGCCCTCCGGTGGTCCCGTCCGCCCGCTCGCTCGCTCGCCTGCCCGCAGGCCGATAAGGGTGAGCGCGCCTGCGACGCCAGCCGACGCTGGCCTGCAAAGCCCAGGCCCCGCCCTTTGTGACACCGCTCACCAATCGCCGGCCAGCGCTGCCGGCGCCCTCCAATCAGCCTGCGAGGGGCGGGGCCGAGCCTTCCGAGGCTGGCCGTTGCTCGGACGCCCCGGTCGCACGGGCGTTCAGCAAGGGTTGTCGGTTAGAAGAGGCCCGGATGTTGACCCTTTATTACTGACGCGGGACCCGGCTGGGGCAAGGAAGGAGGCTGGAAACAGGCCACAGTCGACGGGGAAGAGTGGGCGCCAGGGCGGAGCGCCCTGGCTGGGGCACATCTAAGGTTCTCTGGGGATAACCTGTCCACTCGTGGCCTTTCCAGTCTGGAGCACTTAAAGGACATCCAGGCTAGCCTGACTGAAACGCACCACCCTCTTTGTGCTCCACTCTTTCCTGACATTTCTGACTCAATTGTATCATCTGTAAAATGGGGACATTCTTATACATTTGAGTAATTACTGAAGACTATAGGTCAAACAGGTGGCTTGGGCTCGAAATTCCAGCAAGCTTTTGCTGTTCACCAAGAGGTTAAACTGGGATATAAACTAACTTGGGCGCTACTACTTCATTCCCTTAACAGGTGGTTCAACTCAAATGTTTTACAGAGTGGACTGCAGAAGAGGTCAATGCAACCTCCAATAGTCAAATTGTGACTCGGGACTAGTCTATGAAAGACGCCCGTCAGTCTTCTCCCATCCTCTCACTGAGACTTGAGTTTTTACCCACTAGTTTCCACAGTTCTCACAGTTACTGAGCACTGAGGTGGAAGGTTTGGTGAGACCCTGGCCTTCTGCCAGCCTCTTGCTGGCTCTTGCACCCAGCCCGAGATCTGGGCTAGTAGCTTCAAACTGAGAACAGAGCCACGATGGTAATGTACAGAGGTTAGAATAGTGTCTGTGCTAGAAATTTCAACTACGAGTACCTCAGCATGGGCTCCAGCATCCGGTGGATGAGTTTAAATGTTTGGCTTCCACTTTAAAGCTGCATTACCTCATCAAGCCATATCACGGTCCTTACCTACCATTTTAAGGGGTAGATAGATAAAAGGGTCATTACCTAGTCTCAACAACAACCCTGCAGGCTCAAACTGTTTACAAAGGAGGAAACAAAAGCTAAGAAAGGCAAAAACATGCCCACAACTAAGCCATCCATTTCTTACAACTACTAAAAACTCTGGCATTGTAAGTAGCCTGAATACAGCCACAGATAATGTGGAAATGATGGGTATGGCTATGTTCCAATAAAACTTTCTTTCCAAAATCAAGACAGCAAAGGACCACAGTTCCCCTTAGACGATGGCAGAGGCATTCTTGGAATTCAATGGAAACCTCTTCCCCCAGGTTTAGAATCTTTTACCTCCCTTCTCTTTCACCTGCCTAGACCATCACTGCACTCAGGGCCCCTCCCACAGAGCAAGGACTTCAGGTCTTCTGTCCGACAACGGCTATCTCTGCATTCCCTGCCCACATATGAAAACCACAGAGATTTCCTTTCTAGCATGCCCTTCTATGCAGTCTAATTAAGTAAAAACAAACCACTGGGAATGAAGCACTTATTTTTTATTTGTAACCTTAAGCATAATTAAAATCAGTGCAGAAAAATATTAGTTACATTGGGTAAAGGCTGACCTAGTTGTTTCAGTATTTGCTTTTGGGATCCGGTGAAGGCAGTGAGTGCAGGAGAGAGCATCATTAACTGCAAACAGAATGGGGGGGGGTGAACTGTGAAGACCCCAAATGCTCTACTGGCTTCCAAAGGCATTCAGGGGGTCATCAAAAATGTTGGACACTTTGTGATCAGATCTTAGTTCAGATGTGACCTCTGCAGATTGGCTTTTGGGTTTGGACATCTTAGCCTGGAGACCAGAGGAGAAAATATCATCTTCAAAAAGAAAAAAAAAAGTTGTTAAGACAGGCAAGAAAATGGGAATTTAAGACACATCCACACAAACTGTCAAAGACCCAATTCTGATAACACACTGTAGAGTGCCAATATGAAAGTCAAACCTCTTAGGTTCTGGTCCTGGCTCAGTTCGTGGCACCCAAGTTTTATAATGATACATAAAAATCAGGTCCTTTTTGAGTATAAGTTTCTTACCTACAAAAGTGTGAATGTGCACATGAAGTGAGAAATAGTACAGCGGACTGCTTCTCTAACTCAGTCCTGGATACTGAACTGATTTCTATCTTCTTTCCACTCTGGCCTTTAAGGACAGTGAGAATGTGCAAAGAGAAATCCAATACAGAATAAAGGAATCAATCGGATACATCTCCATGGTAAGAATGAAGTCTGATTCATTCAGGTTAGTGTTTTAGACTTTTAACTATGCCGCTTTCCCAGTAATTAGAAGTAGTTTCTTGTCAGCTGCCAGCCCACAAATAATGACACACAGACTTACTAATTATGAAAGCTTGGCCTACAGCTTAGGCTTGCTCATAACTAGCTCTTATAACTTAAATTAACCCATTTCTATTAATCTCCGTTCTACCATGTGGCATTACCTCTCTTCCACATTGCACCTATGGTTTCCTCTCCATGTCTCCTGGCAGCTCCCTGGCGCCTAGATTCATCTCCTACTTCCTCTCCTTCTGCCTGGAAGTCCTACCTATTCCTCCTGCCGAACTATTGGCCATCACCTCTTTACTAAACTAATCACAGCAGTATATCTTCACACAGTATACAAATATCCTACAACACAATGTTATTGGTAGGATTCTAACATACCAAATTTCAGCATGTTGTACATAAAGACAGGTGTACAAAAATGATAAAGACCATGGCATTATCTATAACAGAAACTAGAAATGATCTAGATTGCCCGTAATAGGCTAACAGCTAAACACAAAGCAGGATCACTCAAAACACTGAAATCAAAGATTTCTATGTACCAACATGGAAAAATATTTAAGATGTGACTAGAAGTAAAACAGGTGAAGTCTGTTCTTACTTTAAAAATTGACTCCGTGTAAATACACAATGGTGCTATGTCTTAAAGGATGTACAACAAACTATTAATATTGCTTAACTTTAAAGCTTTTGTTCCTCCACTTATAAAATTTTCTAAGTTGTATGAATGCTACCATAAGCATGTACGGTAACTTAGTAATGAAAGAAAGTTATGTATGCCTGTGACCCCAGCAGCTGGGAGGGCTAAGATCAGGAGAGTACTAAATTCAAGGTTAGCCAGGGCCACAGCAAGATCACGTGTCAAAACATGAACAAAGAAAAGCAACCCAAGTCTCTTCTACACTCTATGCAGTAGGACACATGAGGATAGAGCACAAGGTTTGCCGAGGGGACAGACTCAGTGTGTCTTTGCAACAAAAGCTTTCCCAGCCAGTCCCAAGGGACAGACCTAGAGGGACAGAGGAAGCGAGGACATGTCCCAGCTCCAGTCCGGGTCTACCAACACATCAGGAGCCCAGCATGTAGAGTTATCAGCATTTGGCTTGCCTGTTAGCTGAGGAGTGGGTGCAGCGTGTTCATACATACATAGAACTCAGGGAGAGGCCACGTCTCACATGCTTGATTCCACTGCACAGGCCTGCTCTCTTGTACTGACTCTCCAGTCCTTAAGCTGCTGTCCCTCACTGTCCAGCTGCTATTCTGACTTAACCAGTTTCATGGCCTGCTGATGGATTCACCTTTCAAAAACAGTGCTTGTCAGATGATGGCGGTGAGCACTAAGATAATAGGGAGCTTCTACTTTCAGTCAAAGGCTGGGCACTGTCTTAAACCTTGATACTCAGCATAGCATAGGGTTGCCTCATGAAAATGACTGACTAGTCCATCTACACATCACATTCTTAGACTATCCAGGATTCCACAGCAAAGAAAAGAAAACCTACTGAGTGCTGTGGAATAATCCTTTTGTACACTGAATATATATCACTATGATTGGTTTAATAAACAAACTTACTGGTCAATAGCTGAATAGGATAACATTTGGCAGGAAAGCCAAACAAAGAATGATAGGAGAAGGAAGGGCAGAAACAGAGGAGTCACCCGCTAGATGCAGAGAGTAGGAGATGAACATGCCATGGTAATAAAGGTACAGCCACGTGGCAGAGCATAAATAATGAATATAGGTTAGCTTAAAATGTAAGAGCTAGTTAGTAATAAGCCTGAGGTATTCGCTGAGCATTTATAATTAATATAAGCCTTTGTGTGATTATTTAGGACTGAGCAGTCAGGAAAGGAAACATCTGTTTACAACTGAGGAACAAAGTCCAAGAAAGGGCCAATGTGAACAACAAGAAATGTATTCAGTCAGTGAACAGTGATGCTCTCTAGGTGCACTGTAGATACTTACAGAAGGGGCAAGAAACCCATACTCACCTGTATCATCATCAAACACAGACTTGGCTTCCACTTTCTTTTTGGACTTTTCTTTGGGTTTTACAGTTAAGTCAGCAAAGATATCAATATTATCATCAAATAAATTGGGTTCCAAAGTTCTCTCCTTCTCTCTCTTTTTTTGAAAAGGTTTAACTGCTTCCGTAGCAAATATATCATCCTAGTTAAGCCAAAAACAACTTTTATAAATAAAAGTATTTTTAAAACTAAAAGTAGTTCAATAATTTGCAGCTATGCAGTGCCCAGGGTGCTCACGCAGACCTCCCCGTGGGCTGGAAGGTACTGCCCTAGGTCTGTGCACCACTCTCTTCATCCTTCTAGTCACAGTCCAAACTCCAGCCCTGCAGTGAAGTGTCTACCAAGTCCAGACTGGAGAACTACCTCCTGCTGTGACGATCCTCTGCCCCACGTAGTTTTCTTCATGGCATTTAGTGCCATCTGACATCACCTTAACTACCTGCTGCTCTGTTTCGATCTCACTCCTCTCCTTGAAGTATCAGGGGACAGAATAGGTGTCCTAGCTCTCCTGCTGACCCCAGGGCCACCATGCTCCATAAACATCTGCTGAACAACTGCCACAAAAGCCTTAGCATCAAAACTCTGCTAAAGCAGAGTCCCAACTAGAAGCAGGGCTTAAACACACAAGCTGTAGCCATGGAGTTCATACATGTCACAGAACAACATGCCACTGACAGCAACACCATTCTACAAAAGTTTAAAAAATAGCAAACAAAAGTAATTAAAAACATGTACACACACACACACACACACACACACACATATAAAAATCACGGCCCAAGGCTTAAGCTGTGGCTCAGTGAACCGTAAAGCATTTGCCTAACATGTACTGGGTTTGGGGCTCTATCTCCAGGACGACAATAACATTTTTTAAATAATTCAAGGCGTATAACAAAGATTAAAGGCAGCAAAAAATATCCTTAGTGTTATTAACAAGAGACTTAATCATGATTAATAAGCAAGTAGACAGCAGACGAGCAACACACACATACGCTATAGCTCAAGAAGCCAATCAGCTACTTTCTTTAAAGACCCAGACATGAAGTATTTTTGTTACCTCAAAAATGTCTTGTGTTTTTGATACGCTGTCCTGATGGCTGTCAGGTTTCAACTCCTTCTTTTTGCCTTTCTGATCTGCAAAGAGGTCATCCTCATCTTCAAGGAGGGGGAAAGGGCTTCTTTTCTTTGTTGGTCTTGGTTTGACAGTCTGGAAGAGATCATCGGCACTGCTGGCCTCGCTGAGAACAGGAAACACAAGGTTCTTCTCTTTACTTCCTCCTGACAAGTGGGCTGGGGTCTCTGCTGCCTTGACTTTCGTTCCCTCCATGGATTGTGATCCTAGGCTCTGTGGAAAAATGTCCCCCGAATCAAACAGGTCAGCCTCATTTCCAGTCTGAGGCAGAGAAGTCACAAAAAAGCTTCTGTCTACTGCAGACAATGCAGGACCGCTTTCCCAAGGTAGAACAGCTGGGGCCACGGCTTTCTCAGAGCTGATCTCTCCACTGGCCATCCCGGGCTGCAGATGAGGTTGATGGCCATTTGGTAAGATGGGACTACTGGCCAACTGTGCAGCAGGTCCTCTGGAGACACTCATGTCCTCACTTTCACTGGACTCCTGGGCAGCCAGCCGCCTCGCAGCGCGGGTCTGTGGTCTACGCTTTCCTCTCACTTTAACACGACTCTGCAAAGGCAAACACACACACACATACACCATGATCTGATGGAAAAATGTTCAAGGTTAACACAGCAAAGACTCAGTAATTCAAAAAACCATAAAGCTATGTGCTTTACTTCAACTAGGTATCACCTAAGCCAGTGGTTCTCAACCTTCCTAATGCTGCGACCCTTTAGCATAGTTCCTCATGCCGTGGTGACCCCCAACATAAAATTAATTCATTGCTACTTCATAACTGTAATTTTGCTACTGTTATGGATCATAAGGAAAAATATCTGATATGGAACTCCAAGGGGGTCATGACCTACAGGTTGAGAAGCACTGACCTAAGGGAAAGATAAAAGTTGTTTAAGATGTCTTTTTGGGCCAGGCGGTGATGGTGCACACCTTTAATCCCAGCACTTGGGAGGCAGAGGCAGGTGGATCTCTGTGAGTTCGAGGCCAGCCTGGTCTACAAAGTGAGTTCCAGGAAACGCGCAAAGCTACACAGAGAAACCCTGTCTTGAAAAAAAAAAAAAAAAAAAAGATGTCTTTTTGGTTGTGAGCCCAGCCTTTTACAACTGAGCTATCTCTCCAACCCTCAAGATTTCTAAAAGGAGTTAACCAGTTCCTACTATTCCAGGACTCAATCTTTCCTAACCCTTTAGTAGTCTCTGTCTCCAAGCTTTTTTTAGTTTATGTATATTGGTGTTCTGCCTGCACAGATGCCTGCATACTACATTCGTGTAGTGCCTGAGGAGGCATAAGAGAGCATCAGGTCTCCTGGAACTGAAGTCACAGACAACTATGAGCAGCTGTGTGGGTGCTGGAAATGAACCCAGGTCCTCTGACAGAGCAGGCAGTGTTCTTCACCACTTAAACCACCTCCTACTCCTGTATTTTAATCTTTTGACAATAGTTTCATGCAAAAAAGCTTCAATGTTGCTGGAACCCCAGAAAACAGGAGTGCTGGTGTTCTGTGACTCAAAACACATACACACAAACCCCAGCACCTCCTCACCCCTTAATTCAAAGGCAGGTACCTCATTAAAAAAAAAAAGAAGAACTGGGAGGGGTTCGAGCACCAACGTTGTGAGGGTCTAGGAGCAAGGAGATATGAGGAGTAAGAGAAAAGCAACTGATGACGCTGTTTTCTCTGCGTCAACAGACACCAATTCAAGTATCCGATGCTGTATGTCAAATGTGGCTGGACCATGAGAACCTTGGATAGAACCTCAAAAGAGGAGCTTCTTAATAACTAAGATTTAATATTTCTGATATTTTCCAAAATAAAAAGGTATGTTTTGTTTGAGAAGATACAACCTATTTTGGACAAAAGACTTAACTGTGTCTGTTTGCTTCAAAGAAAAGCATGATTTTTGGAAGCTTTGAGTAATGAGGCTGGGAGCCTGAGCTGAGGGTAGGTATAACCAAGACACATTGCATGCAAAGCGAGAACTTATCAGAGAATAAATAAAAGATATTCTTTAAAAAAAAAAAACAATTTTAGGAAGTAGCTAATTTAAGCTTGAAAGATAACAAAAATAACAAGAGCTTTTTGGTTTTTGGTTTTTTAATACAGGAAAAAACCTGAAAACACTAAAAATTATTTATCATCCAGGGACAGGTCATCCTGGGTCCTGCTGCCTACTTGGACACCTGTTAAGACTTCAGAGAGAAGGGAGATTGGAGACAAAAAGAAAACTTCTAAGAGTTCATTTGAAGTCCACTAAGGACATCCTTTGCAACAGCTTTCCTAGTGGGCAGGAACTGCTTGGGATCCCAGAGAAGAGGGCCCAAGCCACAGGAAGGAAGGAAAACCACGGAAATAAGGATGGCGTGGTGCTCCAGAGCATTGTGGGAAAAGCACCAGGGCTGGTGGGCAGCAACAGGACACAGCACGTTATTAGGGACTGAGGGCCTGGTGCGACCAGTATTTAATGATCAGTGGGAAAGCAGAAGTGGGTAATGGAAAAGCAGAAGCACCATTAGGAAATGGAGAGGCAGAAGGGAGGAAGGGCTAAACAAAGGGTGAGTGCCCCCTTCAGGTGGAGAGGGGAAGCTGGCCTACAGACTGGTCTAGAACACAGCAGCAGTCAGGTTAGTCTGGTTCATAGAAAAACAAACAGACAGAAGACAGTCCATCACCTTGTTTGCACTGTGTAAGGTATCTGCCTGGGCTGGAAGATCGAAACTGACACCAGCCTCCTCACTCCCAGGAAGAGTGGGCACACGTTCCGGGACGTGGCTCCTTCCAGGTTCAGATGAAGGAAAAGCTAATTCAGATGAAAGAGGCTTTGTTCCTGGGATCTGCAGAGCCACTGTGGGCAGCAAGGCTGCTGGATTAATGGCTAAATTTGCCTAAAGAAGAAAAATAGAACTCAGTATTTGTTCTTAAACACATGAGCAGATTACCATTTCTGTGACACATAATATCTGTGTTGCACACAGTGTAGAATACAAGAGAATATAAATGTAGGAAAATCACCTGATCCAGGCTCAGTGGGGCACATACTTGTGCCCATCACTGGGATCAAAAGACATTAAAGAGCAGTGCATAAGAAGCAACAACTAGGCAAGGGTGGAGGGTATGGTGTTGGCAGGGGAAGAGATGAGAGAATGCTTGGTAGCAGCTGAAAAAACTGAAAATCCACAAATTTTATAGGTGCCACAGGCAGGCAATGAAGACTCCAGATCCAATATAATTACTTGTATTTTCCCGATCCGACTGGATGGCTCTCTGCTTTTAAATGGAGTGAGACCTGAAGAATCCTGTGTGAAATTAAACTTAGTTAAAAATCCATTGAGGGAAAAGGAAACAAACTGTGTCTTGGATTACATTCATATCTGTAAGTAAATCTGTGATGGAGCAAAGCTGTCCCTGTCTGCAGCTCTTTAACTCTGCCCCGGAGCCTCACAGCATTTTGCTTGCTAGCATTACTTCACTGATGCCTCCTCCAACGGAGGAGGGAAGGCCATCACAGAACAGGCACAAGCAGGAAAGGGGGACACTGATGGTGAGTAAGAGCAGAGCTGTAGTTTTGTCCCAGCATATCGTGATGAGTTATCCAACATGGCAAATACAAGCTCCCCACGGCCTGATGCACAAGTTCTAAATACAGAAGCATCTCAATTCCAGATGAGGTAAGAGATACGCTAACCACGTGCCTCCTTTTCCAAGTGCAGGCATAGGGGCCTCAGTGAAATTTCCAGAGACAACTGCAGTTGTCTGGTTCCCTTTGTGGAAAAGCCCCACATGATACTGAGAGGACTCCCAGAAGGGAGGTTTTACAGCAACTATCTTGGAGCAGTGACCCTGAGGAGGAACCAAGAAACCAGACGTTATTTGTATTAATTAGAATATAATTCTACTCCAATGAAGCCCTGAGGGAGAAATGGAGGCACTAGTGAAAAATGACCTTTCATCTTATCCTAGCACCAAATTGGAAACTGAATTTGGCATTTGATCTAAATACAGTAATGACTACATACACAGGTTTCTCAAGTGTGGAAAAAGTGGGAATAAAAGGACAGAGTGAAAGGGAGGGTGCTGGCTGCTACTCCCTCTTTAACGAAGAACTCTGAGCAACCCTCTTTCTATGCCCAGAACTGTCTAAGCAGGATGAGGTAAGAGCTGAACGCCCTCGAGGAGAGTTCTAACCTGTGGTGTTTCTGCTTTCCATAAGCTTTTCTCTTTGCTACCTTGAGTAGACTCAGGAGTTTTCTCGCTCTTTAAAGAAACAGGGTGGTCTTTTTTCAGTAATCCCTTTTTTTCTGGTACCTTCAAAAGAAAAAAAAACATCAGTCTATCATGTATCTTCAAAGTTTTAAACAATACTGAAAACAGGAACCTGGCCTGTGGGTTTTGACAGTCTATTAACCAACTCATAGGTGGCATTTCAGAAACAGCATCCTAAGCACTGTGGTTTTTCTAGGGCTGAGATGCAGCTCAGTGGCAGAAGGATGGCCTGGTATGCACAGGTTTTGAGGGAAAAAAAAGACTGTGACTTACACAGGAGTCCTTTCTGCAATAAAAAGGAAAAAAGTATACAAACCCTAATACAGCAGGAGAAAAATACACACAGACTAAAACTCAGATTTAAAGGTCTAAATCTGAAAGGAACAAAAATGTAGTCCGTATTACATGCAAGTGTCCTTCAATAAACTCTTTAAAAATCAAACAGGTCTGCACCACAATCAGAAACTCCGGATCAGTTAGCGTAATGAACTGAAAGCCACACCCTATATACATACTGTTCCATCTATTATCTGTTATTCGTTTACTAGTAAGCCTTACAATTTCTTCATCTTAACCAAACATTCATTTCCTATCCTCCCCAAGCCTGAGAATAAAAAGCTGGTACCACAGGCTGAGTCTTGGCAGAGCTGAAAAGATCATCATCTTCATCATCACCAAACAGGCTCCCACCACGGGGCACTGACAACTGAAAGAAATCACACACAGATTACACATGCCAAAACTGGAGCCATTTACCCACATTGTGAGCCACCTACACCATGAACCACACAATCTCTAACAGGGGAACTAGAAGGAACTAACCCTGTTTTTTTTGGTGCCAGAGAAAAGATCAACATCTGGGTCATTGTCCTTTTGCAGCTTGTGGCTGAAAAGTAGCTCTTCATCCTGGAAGACACCTGTGCTCTTGGGGCGGCCATCAGTTTTGAGACCCTTGGCAAAAGACAACGGACATAACAAAGATATGGTAAAAGTCTGACCACAGCCTACATACCAATCACCAGGGGAAAGACACTCACAAACAGAATACTATATAGTTACCCCAAATAGTGCTGGTAAATGAATTATCAAAAACAGTGGTGAATAAGTTTGTAAATACAGATAGCATATGCACAATCTTTCAACCTTCATGTAGTACCTAAATTTTTTATTACCTCCACCCCATGTCAACACCGCCAAAAAAATAACCCAATCCTAACCCATTAGTTCCAAACTGACTGAAGAAGCAGCACTCTGGGGGTAAAGCCAAATCACACCTATTTCTCCACTTCATTTCTGAAGGAAGAACAACGTAGAAATTACTATGAACAATTTATTTGGCTTGGTATTAAAAGGAGGAGGGCTGGAGAGATGGCTCAGTGGGCAAAGTGTTTGCAGCACAAGCATGAGGACCTGAGTCCCACCATCCCATAACCACATAAGAACCTATCCTGGGGGCAGGACAGAGGGCTGAAGACCAAGGAAGAACTCACTGCCCATCATCCTCAATAATCAGTGAGACTCTGTCTCAAAAATTAATATAGAGAGCTACAGTAGGAGAGGAAAACTTCCAATGCCAACCTCCGGCCTCCACAACCATGACCATAAACATGGCTGTCATCCTGCACACACAACCACATACAGAAAAGAACACTGCAACCTACATGGCTGACAACCTAAGTGTCCTGGCTGGTTTTGTGTCATCAGAGAGGAAGGAGCCTCAGTTGAGGAAATGCCTCCATGAGATCCAGCTATAAGGCATTTTCTCATTTAGTGATCAGTGGGGGAGGGCCCAGCCCATTGTGGGTAATGCTGTCCCTGGGCTGGTGGTCCTGGGTTCTATAAGAAAGCAGGCTGATGGTGGTGCACGCCTTTAATCCCAGCACTCGGGAGGCAGAGCCAGGTGGATCTCTGTGAGTTCGAGGCCAGCCTGGGCTACAGAGTGAGTTCCAGGAAAGGCGCAAAGCTACACAGAGAAACTGTCTCAAAAAAACAAAAAACAAAAAACAAAAAAAAAAAAGAAAGAAAGAAAGCAAGCAAGCAGGCTGAGCAAGCCATGGGAAGCAAGCCAGTAAGCAGCACCCCTCCATGGCCTCTGTGTCAGCCCCTGCTTCCAGATCCTGCCCTGTTTGAGTTCCTGTCCTGACTTCCTTCAGTGATGAACTGCAAGTGTAAGTTGAATAAACCCTTTCCTCCCCAACTTGCCCTTCAGTCATGGTGTTTCGTCACAACAATAGAAATCCTAAGACACTAGGTTTTATAATTTGTTAAGATAAAAGTGAGTTTTTTTTCAGCATATTCACAGTTGTAAAACCATCCCAATCTAAAGTTCTACACTTGTATCTCACCACCCTTCCCAAAAAGCTAAACAATTAATGGTCGTGTATGCTTACTGTCCACCCTCTCCTTTCAAACCCAAACTATCTCTTCACGTGTGTAGTGTACACACAAGCGCACATCTGTGGGTAGAAGCCATGGTTAAGATCATGTGTCCTCTTCAGTCACTCTCTACTGAAGACAGGATCTCTCACTCAACCTGGAGCCACAATCTGACAAGACAGACTGGCCAGCATGTAAAGGGTACAGCTGTTCTCTCCTTCTACCTCCACAAGGGTTCTGAAGACAGAACGCAGGTCCTCAGTCTTGTGCTGCAAGCACCTGTTCTCAATAAGCCCTCTCACTGGCCCCTGGACTACAGTTTTGCATGTGTAAGTCTGGCAATGTTTTCAGTAAGTGTTCCTAAGTATTTTACCTTTTTGTTGATGCTGTACATGGAATTTCTTATTTTCAGATAAGACTATATAAAACTATAATATATTGATACACTGATTTTATATCCTGCAAATGTTGCTTAGATATTCTGTAGTTTTTAGAACTTCCTGTTACTTGACATAGACAGCTTCTAACCTGGATGCCTCACCTAGAACCTCGAGTACAAGGCTGGCTACAATGGCAAGAGGGAGGGAGTATCCCTGTCTTACAATCTTAAGGGGAAAGCTTTCTGTCTTCAGCCTGAAGCATGTCAACTGTGAGTTTTCATGGATGCTCTGACCAAACTGAGGATGCTTCCTTCTACGTTTAATTTGGTAAGTGCTCTTTTGTTTTTGCTTTTTAAATCATGAAAGGGCTCGAACTTTTTCAAATACCTTTCTGTATCTATCAAGATGACAATGTGCTTTCCATTCTGCACTTTATTAACACAATATATTACACTGACTGATTTTCATATAGTCAACTACCCTTGCAGTCTTAAGAGAAATTCCACTTATGCTGGCTTTTCCTCTTATTTTCCTAAACTAGTTTTACTAGGACTTTGTTGAGCATTTTATCATCTATTTTCAGAAAATATTAGTCTGTAGTTTTAAGATCTATCTGGTCTTGGGCTAGAGAGATGGCTTAGTGGTTAAGAGCATTGACTGTTCTTCCAGAGGACCCAGGTTGGATTCCCAGCACTCACACGGTAGCTCACAACCATCTGTACCTCCAATTCCAGATGATCCAATGCCCTCTTCTAGATTCTGTGGGCACCACGCACACATGTGATGCACAGATATACATGTATGCAATCCACTCGTATACACAAAATAAAATTTTAAAAAGATGTATCTGTCTAGTTTGGGTTCAGAACAATAGTAACCTCACAGAACAAGGCTACTATGTTCAGCAGTGAAATTATTGGAATATGTACTGTTTGTCTTTCTAGGTCTGGGTTACCTCACTCAGTATGATATTGTCCAGTTCCATCCCTTTCATGCAAATTTTATGATTGTATTTTTTGTAACAGCTGTATGGTATTCCATTGTATATATGTACCACATTTTTATTATTCAGTCATGAGCTGAAAGACATGTAGGTTGTTTCCATTTCTTGGCTATTGTGAATGGAGCAGCAACGACCATAGCTGAGCAAGTATCTGTGGAGTAGGATGCCAAGGAGTGGTACAGCTGAGTCATATGATGGATCTACTTTTAATGTTTTGAACATTCTCCACACTGATTTCCAGAGTAGGTGCACCAATCTGCACCAACAGTCCCATCAGCAGTGATGAGGGTTCCACTTCCCCATACATGCTCTAGCATGTGTTGCCAGTTGTTTTCTTGATCTTAGCCATTCTGACTGGGATGAGATGAATCTCAAAAGCAGTGAGAGAAATACATGCGGGAGTGAAGAATGAGGAAGGAGAGTAAATAACACCAAGGATGTTTGAAAAGGCCATAGGGAAACGCAGTATTTTATAAGGTTACTAAAAATGCCTATTTGTGTGTATATGCTTGTTTCTATGTATATATAGTTTAAATGGAGTTATACACATGGGTGACAATGCTCCCTGCAAGGGCCCTAAACTAACCAATAGGAAACTTCTGTTCACACTGTTGTCAGGGGGTTCCAAGAGACACCCCAAATAATATAGGTTATTGCCATCGTCCTTGATTGCCTCCAACAACTTGAAAGTAAGTAAGAAAGATCCTCTGGCCATAGACACCACATACTACAGACACAGGACTTAGAGGAATTGAGCTAGACATGACTTGGAAGCCTCCTACCCTGATGGCTACCTCTCACAACTATTGGAAGGTGCTATGTAAGCTGACAAGGGAGAAAAATCAATCAGTAGTCCTAACTAGGTGTAGAGCCAAAACTCCACAACAAAGACAGCCCAGTAAGACCTCTCTAATGGTGTAACAGTGGCACTTTCATTCCGACTGTAACCAATAGCTGTCTAATCGGACTTAAGGCAGACTCAATAGGAGGAAGTACCTGCCTAGTACTGTAAACCTAGCCTAATACCTGGGCTGGAGAGCTTTAGACTCTAGGAGGAGAACCTACTACTGACATTTTCCTAAATAATCCAATTTCTAACTATATTCTAAATACTTATCGTTGTGCCCTTACATGTGTAACTCTTTGTGCAGCAGAGACCATCACAGAGATCCAAAACCAATGCAGACGAGCAAATACAAGAGAACCCACATGGCCTGCAAAAGCTAACACAGTTTTCATACAGCCCTTTAGAGAGAAGGTTTTCTGATACCTGATATACTGATGAATGGCCCTTCTATCACTAATATTTCTAAAACCGAATGCTAGCAGAACTGAAGTACACACATCTGCCCTACTCCCCTTTCCTACTATTTACTCTGATAATGAGCCAACTCTCTCAAGAGCAACAAGGTCTGCACATCTCAGAAGAAGCTAGTGAGACTCTAATTCCCTACCTAACCAGACAGACGTAAGGGGCAAGCCATTGATGTGACTGGGAATCGCCATCTGACTGGAGAGAATCATCAACACTTGTACTGAAAACCAAGATTTCCTCCGCACCTCCCCAGTCAGCAGCAACAGCCCTGTTTGAAAGGGAATTCCGTCCTCTCATCTAGGCACGAAAACACTGACTGCTCTTTGCTCACCTTTTCCATTTCCTTCTGCGGCACACAGGTGTTGCTTTGATCTTCCACTTTATCTTCCTCATCAAACAAACTAAGGACAGTTTTGGTTCTACCCTTGGTTCCTCTGTCCAATGGAGATGAAGAAAAAAATAAATCAGAAGGCCCGACTGCTTCCTGGTCAGATGCAGTCAAAAGTCCTTCCTACAAACAGAAATAAGAAAAAAATGAATTGCTAGAAATTAAAATCCTATCATGGCCTTCACAAGCTTGACATTAATTCATTAACTGCCACATTAACATGACTCAGTGCAACCCAGCTTATCACATATACTACCGTGTCTCCAAGAGGCTAGAACAGACAATCCACAGTTAAAGATGATTTTTCCAATCATGTTAAGCCAGAGGCCCCTCTTCCTCTTATGAAGTGAAAGGGTAGTTATAACTTGATGTACACAAGTTGCTTATTTACTAGAAAGAATTTCTAAATTATAATGTCAATAGATGTCAATCATAAGGTATGGATCTTAATTCCTAGTTTTAACATGTAAGTCCTAGAGGGAAACTTAACCAGCAAAATCACACACTCCAATTATAGCCTTACAATGTTCATCTACATAGAACAATTTCTAACATGACACTAAAAGTACAACATTAATCCAACAGTATCACAACTCAGGCAAGATACTACTGGTCAAAACAAGAAAGATAGATAATTTCCAACTAAACACACTATTGACTGTAGAGTGTATTCCAACTTTCAAAGTGGAAAAGCATGTTTCATTAGAGAAGTGATACTATATAAAGTAATGCCTACTTTGTGAAAGACAATATGCTAAGTGCTTATGAATAAAAAAGCAAGCAAGCAAACAAACCTAATCCTCAGGAAGTTCACTTAGCTGAGGGACAGGGCAGCAAAACAGTGTGAGTCAAGGATAGAATGGGCTGTGACAGGGTAATTCAGGTTCACATACAGCCACTAGGAGGGGAAGATTAGAGTGACTCAGGTACACATGAGTGTCACTGTAGCCATCGGGAGTCTCTGTGGGAAAAGTAAATGAAACGTTCTTCACACAGGCCCTGGGAGGAACTAAACCTGAGCAGCTGGACCTACAGAGTACAGAGAACTAGGAAAACATGGGGCACACCATAGACAGGAAGCAACTGCTGACATGAATCCCCAGTCATAGCCAGCAGCACGAGCTGAAGGCCTCCAAAAGAGACACCAAACCCTCTGAACAGAACGTTCATGTTAGAGGAAAACCCACTTCACGTGGCTCTGATTTCATCAACATCAACCAGAAGTAAAAGCATGGCAACCTAGCTTCATGGAAGTGACAGCTGAGCTCAGAAATGAGGACTATGAGCCAAGGAAACCAGGCACATCAGAGGAAAGCAAACAGAAAATGCACAGGGTAAGTCAGCATGAAAAACGAGATAAAGAAAAGCATCTGCAGAGAGGCAACAGGCAGTTCTCCAACACGACACTAACGTAAAAGATTTTCTTTTCACTGTACCCAGGAAGTCAGCTATCAAGGGAACCTGATCAAGGAGTCCTGGACAGCAAGAACACGGGCTATTTTCTTACCACCCTGAGTGTTTTCTAGTCTTCCTACAAACACTTTTCATGCAAAAGCATTTTCAGTGTTGGAAAATGTAGGAGAGTGTACATGTTACAAATGGATTGGAAAAGCAAAAATGCAGCTTACCTTCTTTACCACGTTAGCTACATCAGCATTCCCCACCTCTGGGGACACTTTGGCATTATCAACCTTCACATCCACAGATTTCACACCGGATGGTACCTCATTCTCCTCCTCGTCACTGAACAACGATGGCACCTCAGAGATGCTCTCTTTTTTCTACCAAGAGAAGAGAAAGTGGCATCCACAATGATTAAAAAAATTATGCCTGAATAGCATGCGATGTATAAAGCCAGCCAAAACCAGTCCATTCATGAGCTAACTATGATGCAGGAAGGGCAGATAGGACAGTAACTGTGGCCTCAATATGGAAGACATAACAGATAGGATTCCTTCAGATTTGGGACCCCAGCACTTGAGACTTGGTCACTGTCACCAGAACAATGACTGGGCTCTCTCCTCTTACACTTCTCCTGTATGACAACACTCAGGAGTTGCTTCTCCAAATCTGTGCTCCTTGCACTGAGCCACAGCAACCAGCCAACCTGTCGTGCCCTTCTCCTTGTCTGCAGCTCCTCTTGGCTTGCCATTCCTTAATGTAATGCCAACTCTCACACTGCCACACCCTGGGTTCCTCCTCCGTCTGAAGACTATCTTCATGTCTACAGAAAGTCCCAGATGTAAATGTCACCCAAGGTTTCTCTGTTCTCTTCAGTATCAGTTGCTTGTCTGAATAAACATAATATTTCACTCTTTACCTGGTCCTTACTTTACTTTATTCCTTATCTACCTGTCCACTTCTCTGAAAGTACCATCCACTAAATGACCAGGCACAGTATTTTACACAAAGTAGTTACTCAAGTTTGCAAGACCTTCAGCTCAGCTCATCAATTCATTCTTTGGAAGGCAGGGAGTTGAGAGGGCAGGAAACTGAGGTTAGGTGACCAAGCTGGAGTTACCCACAGCCTACAAGCTATGAGGAAGCAATGACTAAGCAAGTTAGGAAGGCTGATGTGGGAAACCACGGAAGGATAATACTAACATAATTGAAAATATTACAAACAAAAATTGGGGTAAGAGGAATTTTAGTTATCATCAGGAGGAGAACCTTAAAATGAAAAATGATTTCAACTTGAAATCAAAGACGATGGAAGTTCACAAAGAACGCAGAAGACAACAGGCAATACTTAAGTGATTAAAGGAAAAAAAGTAGAACACAGTAGACGGTTACAATTTAAAGATGAAGTGCCCCCTAAGGCTCATGCATGGAGAGCTTGGTTCCAGCTAGTAGCGCTGTTTGAGGAAGTTCTAGCAACTTTAGGACATAGGGCATTGCTGGAGGAAGGTCACAGAGGATGTGTCCTTGGGAGCTAAGTCTTGCCTTCCTCTATTCTGTCCTTCTGTGTCCTATCCACCATGAATTGAGTAGCCTCAGTTACCATGATGTTCTACCTTGACACAGGTCCAGAAGCAACAGAACCAAGGACTAAGGACTGACCCTCTGAATCATGAGCCAAAATGAGCCTTTCCTCCTTTATGGTAACTGTTGTCACGGCAACCCCAAGGGCAGGGTTCAGATCTGACAAGGTGGCATCTCTCCTCACGGAGCACAAGCTTACAGGTATTTTCTGGGTCTAGGAAAACTCATACCATTGTTGCAGGAGGAACAGATGCAGGAGGAAAGCCAAACAGAGAGTTTCCACTATCAGCTTCATCTTCAAAGAGGAGTGACGCTCTCTGAGTCTTCTTTTGGCTAAATGAACAAACAGAAGATCAAATTCAGGAGGAATATCATTTAAAAACAAAAGGACTGCTCTTTTTTTGGCCACATCCACAATAACCAACCTCCTAACATTTGTTGACTTTGTACAGTTTAAAGCTGGTGATTTGAAAAGCCTTTGGATAGACAGACTTCGATCTTAGAGGCATGAGCCTCTGCCTATCAGAAGAGCCTCTGGAGAGGAGCCCAGAGACCTGCTCAAGAAGCCTTATCAGTCACTTTCTAAATGATGCAGCAGCTGTACCAGCTCTTAGATCTGACAGGCACACCGTACTCCTGGTAGTCACAAGCATAGAATTCTCCACTGCCACCTTCTCCAACAGAGACTGAACTAAGGATGGCTATGCCTAATTTCAGCATGGCCAGGAAGGCAGCTGAGCCACAGACCACAGAGCCAGAGTCAGCTTTTGCAAAGTAATCCTTTTTTCTGCTTTCTACTTCTTTGATTCAGAGTAGCTTTACTGGAATATAATCTACATAATAAAATTACCCCCTTTAAAACATACCTTTCAATATCTTTAACATATTAAGAGCTGAACACTATCACCACATTTTCATTGCCTCAAAGGAATCCCATGATCATTAGCAGTTAACTCTCAATTCCCATCTCCCCTCAACTCCTAGCAACCACCAACTTACTTCCTCTCTCTGGGTTGGTCCATTCTGGACATTTCATATAAATAGAATCATATAATCTGTGATCATATGTGACTGAGTTCTTCAATTAATACATTTTCTAGGTTAGTTCCTGTCCTATCATATATCAGCACTTTATTCCTTTTTGGTGAATAATAGGCCATCGTGTGGTTCCACAACATTTTGTTTATCCATTCATCACCTGAGGAACATTTAGGTTGCTTCTGCTTTCTGTGTATTTATGGATCAATGCTACAATGGACATTCTTGTACAAGTTTTTATCTGAGCACATTTTCATTTGTCTTAGTTGTATAACAAAGAGTTAAATTATTTGATCACATGGTAACCCAGGCTTAACATTCTGAAGAAACACCAAAACCATTTTCCAAAATGACTGCACCATTTTATATTCATCCACATCTTTACCGATACAAAACCCTTTGTGAGATCTGATCAAATCTGTGAATTACTCTCTACACACATTTTATAGACATCTTCAAGGACAACTTGAGGTATAAAGAATCTGGGGCAGAAAGCATCACTGAAAGGCAGGAACTGTGTGGCTGGCACCAAGACCTCAGAGGGGGCATGTTTCATGTCATCAGGTTCATGGCAATGAGTGTGGTAGGGCACGTGTACACAGAGGATGCTCAACTACAATAGAGACACAGAGGGGCAGGTAAAGGCAGAGCCATGCCCCTGCTCTAAGCCCCCAAGTTCTTCTCTTCCTCAAGGCTGGATTACAGAAGGTTCTTAAAAAAGAGAACTTGCACTGACCCTTGACACAAGAAGGGCAGTAAAAGCAACAAGAGTATCCCGGAAAGAACAATTCAAATAAAAACAAGAGAATGAAACATTTCCTTGCACTGTGATGAAGGCTGCACATGTGCCAGATGCCTCACAAAGCATCTCACATTACAAGTGCACCGTTATCTAAATAGACCTGAGAGATGAAAAATCGGAGGCAAGAGAAGTTAGGGAACTTGTCCAAAGTTATTCAGATAGGAACTGTAGAGCCAGAATTTAAAGTTTTATTAGGATAGCAGACACTCTCTATTCTGAACCAGAGGCCACAGATTTACCAGGTGTCATGTCTTGGGAGCCTAAAAGCAGAAACAATAATGTCTGAGGAGATGTGACTATTTAGAGAAAACTGAGGTACTTTATTAAACCATTTATGAATACCACTATCTAAAGCACGGTATTTCCACATTCAATGGACTGCCTGTTTATTCTACTACTGTTCAGCTGAGCTTTGAAGTAATCATTTACAACTCTCCAGAGGAAACAGGTTAAATGCAGGAGTCACTCTCAATACACAGCTATCCAGGCAGCACAGACAGCCTGGCCCATGTCACTCTCCACAAGCCACCAGCTTCAGCTCAGACAATCACCTAGACCAGAAGGCGTGATCAGTACCTGCTGGCAGTCTACTCCTAATATAATGATTTTCAACATTCAGGATTTCTATCAAAGTATCAATTTTTTAAATATCTTTCTTTAGGGTAGCACTAAAAGGGGGCTGGAGGGCATAAGCTGTAACAATCTCATTCTTAAACCCCTAAGACAAAAAGCTGTTTCAAGGTTAAGAACATGGCAGAGAAAAACAATCAAGGCAAACTTTCCCACTGAAAAGCAAGGGCAGCTGCATCTGTGTATGTGTGACATTGAGACATCAACTACTAGCCACAGAAACACTGTCTCACACACTAAACCTTTCCCTGCAATTGTAAAGATCTCACCTGTCCTTCGCAATAGCAAACAGATCAACTTCATCATCATCCTCCTCAAATAGGTTGGTCTTTTTCACAGCCTTTGTTTCTTGGCCTTGGATGGTCCTTGAGTCACATAGTTCTCCTTTGGACTTACTTTCAGGTGCTAACTTGGTATGTGAATCAGTAATATTCCACTGGTCCTTAAAACATAAAATATGCATTAAAAATCTATAGGACAATACTGACAGAATGGCTAGGTGGGCAAAAGCACTTGCTACATAAGCCTGAGGACCTGAGTTCAAATCCCCAGTTCCCATGTGGCCACACATGACAGTATCCCCAGCACTGGGAGGTGGAGAGCAGAGTTAGGTGGGTTCCAGCCTCGTCAAACCACACAAGGACAAGAGTAAGCCCCATCGCCTCTACTCAACACACACACGGACACACACATACACACATACACACACACACACACACACACACACACACACACACACACACACACACACACATGCAAGGTACTGAAGCATAGCTTAATGGTAGAGACATATTATCTAGTGGCTGATTTAGATATGGAACATGACAAGTAAAACAAAATCTGTGAAGATACTTCAAACTAAGAATCAAGCACACTCGAAGGCCAGCCACGTCTTTGAACCCGGGTTCTGGACTATACCCCTTTCTCACTCGTGCCTCCTCCATGTGTGTTCCAATTTCTCTCTGCTAGGGCCACCTTGTGTAAAGACAAATTAACCTGTCTATTTGAAAGAATCGAAATTAATTACACAGGGGATAAACAAAGAGAAATATAAAAGTAAAAATATGGCCACATTGGAAGGGGATATTTTAAGTAAAATCCTGAAGCAGAAGGGAAAGGAGGTCAGCAGGACAGGGAAGGGGGGCAGGAGAAGGTAATGGGGTGTGATGCTCAAATACACTGTGTGCACATATGAAAACTATAATTTATAAATAAAGGCTAATGGTTGAGAACTGTTCCTCTAAGCAACCATGTGCAGCAATGATTACAGAGCTTTAAAGAAAATTCTAGTGAGAAGGCCACACCTACAAGTAATACTCTTTAAAGTCCCCAGATGATCCCAGGGGGAGCCCAGCAGGAAGTCCCTGAACCCGGTCACTGTCATTCTGCTTTTCTTTTCGCTCAGCAGCTTTGGCTAGGACTATTCTTTTACTGACACCACTACGATGGGAAGATTTCCACAAGGCAACTGACTACAAACATGTGAAGAGAAAATAATGAGGGCTGGGTAGGTGGCTGAGGGAGGGGAGATAAGAGCACTGCAGAATAAGTATGAGGACCTCAGTTCAAATCCCCAGCACCCACATAAAAAATACTGGGCATTGCCATGCATGGGCCAACTGGAGGGGATGGAGACATGAGGATTACCAGGGTCTGCCAGCCATCAGCCTAGCTCTGGTTCAGTGAGAAACTGGCTCAAAGAACAAGAAGAGGGATAGAGCAGGACACCTGGTATCCGCCCCTGGCTTCTGGGAAGGCTCATCTGTACACATGTGCTCATCAACTGCAAATATGTATTACACACACACACACACACACACACACACACACACACACACACACACACGCAGACATGGGGGGCAGAGAATCTATAATAAATATGCACATTTGAGCAGAAAACATAAATTAAGTCATTTTAAGTTGCTTTCAATAAACACTATTGTACTTACAATTTGTCTGTAACCTGGTACCCTCCTAACATCCCTCTAATGAAAGGGCAAAACATTATTAAATAGGAATATCTTCCTTTTTAACAGCTTAAATTTCTTTCTTTTGAGAAGGGGTCCCAGGTAGCCCAGGCTGGCCTTAAATCAGTATGTGGCTGGGGATAATTTTGAACTTCAGCTCTACCTCTCAAATACCAGGAATATAGACAGGACCTGGGAACTGAACACAGGTTTTCTAATATATTAGGTGGGCTGGCTAGTTTTGTGTCAACTTGATACAAGCTAGAGTCATTTTTGAAGAAGGAACCTCAACTGAGAAAATACCCCCACCAGGTTGGCCTGTGGGGCATTTTCTTGGCATGGGAGGGCGGAGCTCACTGTAGGGAGTGCTACACCTTGGCTGGTGAACCAGGGTGGTATAAGAAAGCAGGCTGAGTAAGCCATGAGGAGCAAACTAGTACATGTGCCCCGCCATGGCCTCTGCTTCAATTCTTGCCTCCAAGTTCCTACTTTGAGTTCCTGCCTTGAATTCCCTCAGTGATGAACTGTTGCATGGAACAGTAAGCTAAAATAAGCCCCTTTCTCCCCAAGTTGCTTTTGGTTATGGTGTATGATCATAGCAATAGAAACCCTGAGTTAAGACACTAACCAAGAACTTTATCTCCTGGACTGAAACTCCAGCACTTTAACAGCTTTTGATTTTGTATTATTCTTATTTTACTATTTTCCTATGCTGGACATAGACTCAGGGTCTTGCTCATGTTGGATATGTATGGCACAATTAAGTTACATCCCAAGTGCCAGAAAGACCTTTCATACTCAGGGCACTAAATTTTATTATAGTGATTGCTTCTCATCCTTCTTAGATAAAATGTAAATCTAAATCTCATTTATATTTATGGTCTTCTGCTCAGGTAAATCTGAATGATTAAGCTACTATTGATTTTGCTGATCTATATCCAAATCACACTGTCCTACAGCAAAGGAGTTGAATTTTGGCAGGCTACTCCTAGCGTGTTCAGCTGTAATTCTAGCTTAATGACACAAAGCAGTCCTTAACAAGATAATACACAGTGGATGGGACACATTACCCTCCAAGTATGGCACCTTGGCAATGAAGAAAGCAGAGGCATCAAGTCTCCCTGACCTTCCTGCCCCTTCCTCTAACAGTAGAACAAAAAGGAATACCGCAACTCTCTACTGTGAAGCAGGACCAATGGTATCCTCCCTGTACCTGGAGGAAAGGCAATCCCATTTCTGAAGACCCGGAAAAACCTGGATGAGCAGACCTTTCCAAACCCCTCAGCTTACCACTGCAGACCAGACTCTTCAATCCTATCATGCTTCTCCCTAGCTCTTGTTCTCTATCATACTTAGCAAAACACACTTCAGGTTCCTTACCACCTAAAATGTACTTTAAATGAGAATGTTTTTTCCTTGCAATCTCTTGCTACAGAGCTTTAGCCATGAACTTTGTAGTGGAAGCCATATTAACTCCATTTTGAAAGTATTAATGTTTAACACATTACACAAATGTTTTTCTTCAAAAGACACAATCTTGTAAATAGCATCTTTTAGTGACCAAGCTCCAGTGAGTAGGGAACAGAAAGAGAACATGTTAGGACAGCTGTACCTTTTTCTACATTCTCATAGAAACCTCCTGTGTGGGCAAGCTTTAACCTACCTCCTCATCACTGCTGAATAACAAGGCAGATGCTTTCTTTTTGGGCTGCTCTGAAGGTTTTGGTTTCTCTTGACTGTGAGGTTGTAGAGAGGAAACCTGCTTCTTAGCTGGGGCACTCCCAAAAAGATTATCCTAAAAGGACAAATGGTAGAAAAGTACACAAAGCTGTCACCAGTTCATATACAGGCACCCCGAGTAAGGCATTCTCCCCAGAGGAGCAGAGCATGACATGTTTGGGGAAAACAATCACAAAATACCTGCACACCTCAGTCTACAACCTCTTCAAATTACAACCCCTATCCACAGAAGGAAAACAAGATTATCACAGAATTCCCTTAGTTTAAAAAAAATTAATTATTACTGCATGTGTGAATGTGTGCACAGGGGTATGTGAGTTGGAGGGCAGTGTATGTGTAAAAGTCAGAGGACAACTTTCAGGAGTTACCACAGGACCTGACCAGGGCCTGAGAGAGAGCAAGAGCAACAAAGGAAGGTCAAGATGGCAAAAACACCAGGTGCCCTTCCCAGTCCACCTGTGGGCATGAGAGCCTTGGCACCAGCCAACAATCACACATCTCTTTAGAAATTGGATTAATGGCTAAAAGGAGTTTTTACAGCTAAGAAAGTTGGAGATAGAAGAAATTATTTATAATTAATTTGTAAGAAAGAAGACAAAGGTATGGGCCAGTTTACTAAATAAAATCCCTGGCATCCTAAGGACATTCAATGGTATTTATAAATCCTTACCCAGTCAAACTCTAAAACTACCTCATATGAAGTGAGTGTGGTAGTGTGCGCCTGTGATCACTGGATTCATGAAGCCAAGGCATCAGGAGTATCAATTTGAAGCCAGTCCGGGCTACATGGTCAGTTAAAGAACAGTCTGGACTATCTATGAGATCCTGCTACCGTTCCCAGCCCCACCAGAAATGCTATTATACACCCACTCTCATTAAAGTAATTGAACCAAACCATCGGCGGGCCCAAGTTTGGTTGATGATACAAAACTCTTAACAGTATATACTATAGCAGTGGACAGTCCTGAGCCGAAGACAATAAAGGAGGTCTGTAAGTAAAGCCTGGTAAGGTAGAAAAGACAAATAACAAGCTGGGTCCAGTGGGATGTTAGTGACAACAACTTCCATCCACCACGCACCTCTACCAACCACTGTGCACAGATGTGACACTGCTTGTTTCAGTAGCTATAATGAACCTAGTGACCTTTACCCCACAGAAGATGGAGATGCTGAGGTATCTGCAGAAAGTCTGGGTTTGCAATGATGGAGCAACCACTGCACAACACCACATAAGGGTTTGAATTTGGGTCTTTCTTAACCTGTAACTTCTCACGACCACTCCACTCTCTATACCCAGAGTGAGTAAGAAATGTAAACCTAAACATGGCTGCCTCCTCTTTACTACTGACACTGCACCCAAGACATTCTCATATATCATTGGGTATAAGAGATCTATCCTCTCTAAAGTTACTTATCAAAAGAGTGCAAAAAAAATAAAAACTATTTGGCTTTCCCCAATAAATGAGTCAAGATTTCAATGACTCCCTAATTGTATTACTAGAAAAACTTAGGGGTCACCAATGTGACCAGATATTGGTAACCCAGGGGCTTCTCCAGCACGCTTTACTACTATACACCCCTCTGGCTATATATAAAGCCAACAAAAACACCTCTCTACTGTTCTAGGCTAATTAGTTAGTATTGCAATAACAACACCTACCTCTTCATCTTCATCACCAAAAAGGGAGACCGATGTGGGGAGCTGGCTGGACAGAAGTGATGCACTTTTTGACTTACTTGAATTTTGAGAAGAAAACAAATCCTGTTGAATCAAAATCAAAGCTACTGGTTAGCAGGGCCTATCAGCTTTAACATCCCGTCAGGAGAGTAGACTAGAATGTGATGGCTTTGTGTGTCTAGATTTGGGACCTCAGCATCAGTCCTTGGTGGTGTGTGGGCACAAGGAGCAAGAGAGAGCCACAGGATATTTCAGGTAGTCTCTGTGGAGCCTGTAGGGCAACCATATTTCCACCTGAAGGATGGAAGGCAGGAAGACCTTCCCAGTCAGTACTATCATGCAAACAAAAGGCTTCCTTTGTCTCAAGTATCAAAGAAAAGCACACAAATTCTACCACAAAACGGGCTAGATTTGCAAAGCACTATACCTGCGATAGCTCTACTGTTAAGATCTCTCCCCAGAGACTATATTGCATCTTTTAAATAAATACAAATTAAATTCCTACTTTAAAAGGTTTGTGCTGGGAAGATAACTCAGTGGTAGGGTATGTGCTAAAAGTGTCTACTCTTCTACTGGAGCTGCAACTATGAAATGCTGCAAAGGACCTGCCAAGTTCTGAATTGTCCTCAAAATTTAATGAACTGTAGCTTAGACCACAAGGAACACTCTGCAAACTGAGCTCCATGAACCAGAAACATAAACTGGGACAACTGTCCCCTGGGCAGAGGATCCTCAATACAAGAGCCAGACAATTAAACAAGACAAGAACATTTTCTATGACCTCTTTGGATGCTATGTTTTACTACACAATCAATGTCTACCACTCATCAACAAACCTAATGAGTCCACTGACCTAGAGAGAAGAATTCTTACCATACTGGTTAGCATTTGACTCCATGAGTCACACTGGTTTGTTTACAAAGAGGCTCCAGTGTCCCATGGCCCTTCTGCATTTTACACACTGGGAATGGGCTGAATGTTTTAAGAATATAAAGTAATTCAACCAAAGAACAAAAAACAGATCTCTGCACTGTAATTTTAGACCTTCCTTGTTGGCAGGGGGGAAAACACACTTCTGTTACCTCAAACATGCCCCCTCTCCGCCACAAAAAAAATTTAGTAAGGCAAACTTCTGTTCATACTTGAGCCACAGATAAGCACAAGAAATCATTCCTTCCAGTTCAATATTTTATGTCCTAGACTGCCTTATGTTACTTCTCTTTGCCTAGAATTCTAACAATATTCAATTAAAAACACTCACTCTATGATGGTGCCCATGGGTCAAAGCCTTGAGTAGTAGTTTTAAAACGAGCCTCCAGTTTATTAAACTCTACCATCAAGAACTCAAGTTGGGGGACTAGAAATACAGCTCAGTGATAGAGTGCTTGCCTAGCATGCACAAGGACCCAGAATCTCTCTCTCACACACATACACACATAAAATGTTCATTGAAATTTGTATCCTGCTCCTAATTCCAAGACTGTCACAGCAACGCAGAAGAAACAGCACTGACTTCTGTGACAGGTAGTCTTGGTTGTCTTTTGACACACCAAGGAAGACAGATCCTCAAATGAGTAACTGCCTTCATCAGACTGGACTATAGGCAGATATGTGGGGTATTATCTTAATTGTTCATTGATGTGGGAGGACCCAGTCCACTGTGGGCAATGCCATCCCTACGCAGGTGGTCCTGGGCTACACAAGAAAACTGGCTGAGTACAAGCAGGAGAGGGTAAGCCAATAAACAGTATTCCTCCTTGGTCTCTGCTCAAGTTCCTGCCTTGGCTTTCCTCAATAATGGACAACCTGTAATATGAAATAGACCCTTTCCTCCCCAAGTTGCTTTTGATGAGTGATTTATCACAGCCAAGAAAAGCTAACTAGGACAGCTTCCAGGACTGAGATAGAAAAGGCAGCACAGTCTCTATCTGACACTCTCAGGCGCTGAATCACCAGAAATAGGCCTCACTTCCTGAACCTGCCATGCTTAGAGACTCACTGCATAAGGACGGAAGCCCAAGCTGCTTGAGTCTTCCTACCCACAACCTGTCATCTGTCACCAGCAATGAAAAGCAAAAGCTGTGCTGAGTATGTATCACAGTGGGAACAAACTCACTAGTAAGTCATGCTGCCGTTAAAGGAAGCGGCAGGCTGATTTCTTCTCTCATAGAAGCATCTTACCACAATTGTGAACCAACAAAGTCTTCAATTTAAGAATGTTAAGGGAAATGTTAAGGTACTGTATATATATGTTGCTTTCTGAAGATCACATATTTCCAAGAAAATATAGGGTCTTGTATACGCCAAATAGACATTTTATACCATTGAATTATTCCTAGCCCAAGAGATTTTCAAAATAAGAACTGAACTACTTAATAAAGTCTTAAACCTCTGCTGACACACTAATTCAGAAAGTTATTACTGTGTTATCTATAGATGAACCTACAGAACTAAGAAAAGAATTCCGTACCTCAGAGTCCTCTTCATCTGAAAACAAACCTTTCTGAGTCTTTGTTTCTGACACGAGCTTTGGATTTCTGCTGGAAGGGAAGGTGATCTAGTTGGATCCCCACCAAAAAAGAAGGAAAAAAAAGACTGTCAGCAAGAGACATGGAAACAAGCTCATTCATTCGTTCAGAAAATGTCCCCGCCTCCACTGTAAGAAGGCACCAAACACAGTGACTAAACATGCCTGAGACCTTCATTTGTATAATGTTCACACAAAGATTTTATACATAAGTACCGTGACAAAGAATTTAAAAACTGGCATAAATTAGCAACAGAGAAGACACGGTCTCACTAGAAAATATGTTTCTCAGATTTGATGAGGCCCCAGAACAGTGAGATGGGACAAACAGGACAAAGCTCAGGGCACTTCTTGTGCACATGGGAGCATGTCCTCTGTCACACAGAGACACCTTGTGTACATGGGAGCATGTCCTCTGTCACACAGAGACACCTTGTGTACATGGGAGCATGTCCTCTGTCACACAGAGACACCTTGTGTACATGGGAGCATGTCCTCTGTCACACAGAGACACCTTGTGCACATGGGAGCATGTCCTCTGTCACACAGAGACACCTTGTGTACATGGGAGCATGTTCTCTGTCATACAGAGACACCTTGTGTACATGGGAGCATGTCCTCTGTCATACAGGGACACCTTGTGTACATGGGAGCATGTCCTCTGTCATACAGACACCTTGTGTACATGGGAGCATGTCCTCTGTCATACAGACACCTTGTGTACATGGGAGCATGTCCTCTGTCATACAGCACACAAAAGGGACAGACAAAAGGGCAAGCTGGTCGAGGGACCACGATGATTTTGAATGCTGGTATTTTGGTAGTTGTGAGGGCAAAAGAAGGATGTGACGAAATGAGGCAAGTGTGATGGCTACTCTTCGCTGTCAACTTGACTACATCTGGAATTAACTAAAACCCAAGTAGCAGGGCACACCTGGGAGGGATTTTTCCCCAATTAAATCATTTTAAATGGAAAGACCTATTTTCAATCTGGATCTTTTGAAGTGGGAAGATATACCACTAATCCAGACCTTTTGAGGTAGGAAGATCCACCTTTAATCTGGGCCACACCTTCTCCTGGCAGCCTATATAAAGGACATGGAAGAAGGAAGCTTTCTCTCTCTTGGCCTGCTTGCTCTTGCTCTCCCTGGCAAGTCCATTCCTTCACTGGCATTAGAGCCTACTTCTTTGGAATTCTGGCATATAGCGAGGACTAGCTGAGACATCCAACCTTGCAGACTGAAGAACTACTGGATTCGGACCTTCCACTGGCAGACAGTCATTGTTGGACTAGCTGGACCACAGCCTGTAAGCCATTCTAATAATCCCCTTTATAAATATAAATACATGTATGTATACACACACACACACACACACACACACACACACACACACACACACACTCATTCTGTAACTTCTGTTCCTCTAGAAACCCTGACTAATACAGCATGCCTTACAAATGACAAAGAAGCCAGATCTAAGGATGATACATGCTGGTAAACTCACCACTGGGAAGACAGAGGCAGAACTGTGAGGTTGAGGTAAGTTATGGTACAAGCAGAGAACTGACTACTCAAAGTTGTTCTGACCTCCACATGCACAATATGGCACTCGTGTGCCTGCATAAATACATCATACATATATATCACAGACACAGACACAGAAACACACACACACACACTAAACAAAGAAAAAAACCTGTGTGACATCAGAATACAGACTATGTATGAAGTCATTTTAAATCAGTATTATATTGGGTATGATTTTATAAAGGAAATTTCAGGGCAAACTGGAGCCTCATGAATGCAGACTAACATCAGATTTTTCTATAGAGTTACTGCCAACCCCTGGCCAATGACAATGACATCTAGTCATAAACAGTTTTTCAAGGGCTGCCTAATAAAACATGCAGGTGGTAAAACATCATAATGACTACAAATTCCTTACAAATAGTTCTGAAAACAGTAAGTTTGCACAAGTTTCAGACACTTACTTGGTAAATCCTCACTATATGTGAAACTGGTAAATTTGGAGTTTCATTGTGTCTTTCAATTTTATGTTCAAAGCTCTTAATATAAATGTGGCTGCTATTCTTGATTGTCAACTTGGCACATTTTTGGAGGAGGAACTCAACTGAAGAAATGATTCCATCAAATTGGCCTGCAGGCATGTCTGTCAGGCATTTTCTTGATAGCTAATAGATGTAGAAGGGCCCAGCCTATGTGGGCAGTGCCACCTCTGGGCAGGTGGGCCTGGGCTGTGTAAGAAAGGCGGCTGAAGGCCGGGTGGCGGCGGCGCACGCTTTTAATCCCAGCACTCGGGAGGCAGAGCCAGGCGGATCTCTGTGAATTTGAGGCCAGCCTGGGCTACAGGGTGAGTTCCAGGAAAGGCGCAAAGCTACACAGAGCAACCCTGTCTCAAAAAATCAAAACAAAAACAAAAAAAGAAAGGCTGCTGAGCAAGTCAGTGAAAGCAAGTAAGTCAGCAGCATTCCTCCACAGCCTCCTCTTGAGTGGTTCCCTTGGTTTCTTCCCTTAAGGATGGACTACATCCTGTAAGCCAGATAAGCCTCTTCTTCCCTTAGTTGCTTTGGTCAGTGTTTATCACAGCAACAGGAAGCCAACAAGAGCCATAGCATGAAAGAGAATTCTACACCCCTCTGAGATCCACACAAATTGCCACTGTAAGATGCCCAGGATAATACCCCACGATCTGCCCCTCCTCACCGTTTTATCTCTGTGTTCATCTGTCTGACTCACAGAAGCCTCTGGCGGAGCCGATGCTTTTTCTCTGAAGAGATCTTCTTCCTCGTCATCAAAGATAATGGCAGTGGACTTGATTTTGTCTTAAAAAAAAGAAAGAAAGAAAGAAAGAAAGAAAGAAACCACAGCATAAAATTACATCAACATCAAAATCCAAACCAAAAAAAAACTCCCAAAGATAAATCTGAAAGGCATCTTATTTCTTGATCATTTACAGAGAAATACAAAGGAAATGGAACCATGCTCTTCCTTCACTATTTTTCCCTTTCCTTTTCCCTGCAATTCCAAGGACTAGCCAGGGAGAGCTACGTGCCAGTCATGCTCTGCCACTGAGCTGCTCTCCTAGTTCTGTCTCCCTGGTACTCAAAGCAAGACAGACATTAACCACCCGAATGACACCCTCATTCATGCAGAAGCACCCTATGATGGGACTAAAAAGAAAGATGACTTTAAAGCACCAAAAAGTGAACAGTTCTAGGAAGGAGATGTGAGCATGACTCCTGTTTTTATTAAAAACCAAACTATACAGAAAAAGATGGAAGCAAATGCTAAAATTCCCCTTGTCTGCCCAGGCACAAGACAGACGGAAGAGTCTGGTATACATGCTTCTAAATCTCCTACTACTTCATGTATTAATGTCAGCTAGACTAAAGCTTAAAAAATCTGAGCCAAATGCCCTACCATTTGTGTTTTCCATTTAATGTACAGAGGAAATATTCCCAAGTAGAAAAGTAAATACCTCATTCTTTTTACTTTTTATGAGATTCGTCTATTTATCTATTTGTGTTTATATGTGTGTGTGCCCATGTATGGGAGATATTTATTTATTCGTTTATGTGTTTACATAAGCTCATGTATGGGGGAATTCATTTATGTGTTTGCGTGTGTGTATACTCATGTACAGGGGATATTTACTTTCATTTATGTGTTTGTGTATACGTATGCTCATGTATGGAGGCTATTTATTTATTCATATACATGTTTGCGTGTGTGTATGCTCATGTATGGGGGATATTTATTTATTTATGTGTCTGTGTGTGGGTATGCTCATGTATGGGGTGTATGAGCATCTGTGCATGTACACAGAGGTCAGAAGGTGTTAGGTGTCCTATCACTACCTATTCCTTCGAGGCAGGATCTTTTCCTGAACTTGAGGCTTGTGTTTTCTCTACTAGGCTGGAAGCCTGCAAACCCCCGTGATTATATCTCTGTCCCTTTTAGAGCTGGAGTTACAGGCATGCACTTGATTCCAGGCTTGTTACACGGGTGCTGGGATCAGAACTCTGGTCCTCAGAACTTTGTAGCAAGTACTCATAACATCTGAGCCATCTCTCCAGCCCCTCATTCTTTTCAACAACTTTGCAAAGATCCGCCAAATGGAAACACCACAGGTTTCCTGGCTCTGGAAAACCTGAGTGGTTTTCTACTTTTTGTTCTCCAAGCACAGTCATGTGTCAGCGAGTAAGGCATGGTTTCAGAGAGCTGTGTAGACGTTTGCTAAGATGTCGAGAGCCCTTCAAGGCTGAAGAATGCACTTCTACATTCATTTATTGCCATTTAGTCTGTCCACTGAGCTCACTGCATATTTCTCCGGTTTTCTAAAACGATGAAGTTAGAGCTTCCCTCACACTTCTGCTTCTATCTGTGTACTCTACCCCTAACCCTGGAAAGTTACTGCAGACATCATGTTCTAACACATTCTGATTTTATCTTTTCCTGACGCCATCTTCTCCTTTATCCAACTGCTGAAACTATGTGCACCTCAGGATCCACCCTTCTCTTCAAGAACACCACCTGATGAATGTAAGTCTTGTTTCTTCAGATGTGAACTTAAGAGCTGGTGCTGTGGTCAAGAGAGTGTTAGAAACACAGGCTCTCAGGAGACACATCTGCACACTAAAAACAAAGGACTTGTAGGAAAGACTTCAACACGGACTTCAGAGAGGGAAGAGCACGGAGCAGACAAGAGACCACAAATGCTATGGGAGGACGAGGCCAAGGATCATCTGAGCTCTCTGGCAGAGAAAGAAAAGGTGGGAATGAAGCAACCAGCATGCAATGTTCTGCTCAGGTAATTACCCAGAGCTGCTGGAGGAAGTATGACTAAATTTCTGTCTATAATTTAAAAGGCAGGAGCAGAATCTTTGGGAAAAAAATACAGGAGAAGAAATTCAACTCCCTATAAAGAAGATCAGTAATTAGTTTCCAGCGCAGAAAAGATTGGCCTGTTAGGAACCCCCAAGGTTGTGGCGTGATTTAAGCATAGACAAGACAGTGACAGCAATGCTCAGCAAGGCATTCTGGAACTACAAGAGACACTGAATGTGAAGACCCGTGTCCCTTTAAGTTCAACATTCTTTTTTGTTTTGTTTTTTCAACGGGTTTCTCTTTACAGCCCTAGCTGTCCTGGCCTTGAACCCTCAAATGGAGTGCTGAGATTAAAGGTGTGCACCACCACTGCCTTGCAAGTTCAATGTTCTTCTCTAAGTTCCCAGAATTAGGCTGAAAGTGGTACCAGTCTTGGAAGGTTTGTTAGAAGATGGCACAAAAAAGTTGCTATCATCATCGTCATTATCATCATCATCAAAGAGGCCAGCAGGAGTTGGCAGATGTGGACTCTTCCCTGGAGTGGGCTGCTCCTGTTTCTGGAACTCCTTCAATGATGGAGCAGAAGTGGACCCAGACACATCAGTGTACCCTGTGGATGGAGACAATCAGAGCTATGAGCCGGAGTAAGCCTCCTGACGACACACAGCACCACTCATGAGTTCGGTTCATCTACAAAACACATTTAGAAAATGAAGTAACTTTTGTGTTAGTGTTGGAGAACTCAACCACAACACAAGACTGCCTGACCACTCAAGAAACTGCACTGATCCCCTCACTCCTTTCCCTTCCCTCTCTCTCCCCTTCCTCCTTCTTTCCTTCTTTTCCTCTCTCCTTTCCCTCACCCCTGCAGCCCTCTGCAGAGCTGGAGAGGAAACCAGGACCATGCGCATACTACACGAGTGCTCTACCACTCCGTCACATCCCCCGCCCCAACACCTCTGACCTCACATAGAACGTGAGCTCCTATCATCAGTACCCAAGCTCTAGTTATAAACTCTTCAATGCCTTCTAGGGCTCCTGGGTACCTCCAATTGCTAACCAGTCCTTATAAAAAGGTGACAAAATGGAATTTATACAGTTCTTAAGAGTGCTGGCTGGGGTGATGGCTCAGCAGGTAAGTGCTTATTCTAGAAACATGAGGATCTCAGTTTAAATCCCCAAAACTCAAAAGACAAGCAGGGTATGGCTGGTACCTGTGCCTGTCACCCCAGTGATGGCACAGGGGGTTGGGAGACTCTCTGGGACTTACTGGCCACCAGCCTAGTTGAGGTTCAGTGTGAGACCCTGTCTCAAGGGAATATGGAAGAGAGTGCTAGAGCAGGACATCTGTCATCTTCACTCGACACACACAGGCAGATGCTTCCCCTCACATCATGTGTGCATACAATACACACACACACACACACACACACACACACACACACACACACACACACACACACAAGAAATAAACCCTGTTACCTAAAAATACAGAAACAGCCCCTGCTGGGATTTTCTTTCCAGGTTTGGGGGATGGAGATTCTAAAATAAAGAAGAAAGGTCAATCATTTCACCAGACTTGTTGAGCATGGTAGGACACACCCGTAATCACAAGACTTGAGCAGCCGAGGCAGAAGGACAGTCATGTATCGGGGCTACATGGTAAGCACCACACCAAACAGGACTACATACAAAACTGTCTCAAAAATACCAACAGCCCAGCCCTTCTCTGGAGTACATGCAACATGGTACAAACCTAAACAGGTTTTTATAAAAAGGACAATTGTCCCTAAGCCATTTTAAAAAGTACTGAGTTCTTTTCATTTTTATTGACATCAGCAGCTTTTTCCTTAGGATTAGCACAGTCTAAACTGTGACTCCCATGGAAGATGCACTAAGCCAAACAGCAGCTAACAAGGCTATCTGGGGGAGCCAGGCCCAGAGCAAGCACAGTCTTTTAAGACAGGGCTAATGCTATCCTTTCCAGCTCAGTGAGATGAACTGGTGAAGGGAACAGCAAAAACCTGTGAGATGGTGGTAGAGAAAATAAAAGTAGCAAGTTAAACAAGAAAAATAAGTAAACCAACACGACAGCAAGATAAGGATGGCCCCAACAGAAAATAATCACACAGCAGGCTGTCATTTAAAATAACCAATTCCCAATGCCTAAGGGACTCCTGAAAATCTGATGGAATAAAAATTGTAGTTCCTAAAAAAACACTCTGGGCTTTCAAAAATTCCTACAGATGATTCTAATGGACGTCACCTGGAGGAATTATTGATGGCCAACTGATATACTCAACACAAGCAAGGTTCCCTTGAATTAAATGTCATTATAGTAAAGCTGGTCTCAGCAAAGCTCGAAAATACTTTTTTACTATCTTATCAATCTCTAAGAGGCAAATGTTTGATGTGGGTCTGAAGATGGTACTGTTGTCTGTTCCTAAGACAGAAACTGGCAAAGACAAACTGTCTTCAACTGTTTCAAGGCAAAAACAACTTTCAGCTTAACAGAAATAAAGCCTTGGGTGTTCTGTCTCCCAATAGAAAGAGATTTAGAACTTGTTTGCTGGAAAGTTGTTTTTTTTTTTGGCGGGGGGGGTCAACTTGATAGAAGCTAGAGTTGTCTGGAAAGAGAAACTCTATTGAGAAACTACCTCCATCAGATTAGCCTATAGGGAGGTCTGTGGAGCACTTTCTTGATTAGTGATTAATGTGGAGGGCCCAGCCCACTGTAAGCAATGCCACCCATAGCTAGATGGTCCTGAGAGAGAATGAAAAACAGCTATATATAAGCCTGCAAAGCAAACCAGGAAGTAGCATTCCTCCATGGCCTCTGCTTTAGTTCCTGCGTTCCAGGAGTTCCTGCCCTGACTTCCCTTCATGATGGACTATAGGCTGCAAAGATAAATGAAGACACCCTCCGCCCCCTCTTGGTCATGGTGTTTATCACAGAAATAGAAAGTCAGCTAGGAGAGCATGCAAGAGAAAAGCGGTCATCCCCAACCCTACCTTCACTAACGGGAGCTTGTGCTTGCCGATCCCGGGAGGCTTCCCTGAAGAGGTCACTCTGGTTGTGGTAAGACAGAGGATATTTTAAAATACAGAGATAAACAAGGCTGAACTTGAAGATTTCTGGGAAGTATTATATACTTTGAAGCTACGTGTTTACTGTCCTGCCAAAGAACAGTCACAAAGTTCAGACGAGAGCAAAATGAACTTAATTTGGGCCTGTCGGGAATTAAATAAAAAGATGGAAGAGGCTAACATACCGCTAACTCAAGTACACTATCCACTACTGATCCTCTCACAGGCTCTCCTCACGTCAAAGGACAGTAAGACGACAGGAGATACAGTATTTCTCACTCTGTGGTTCTGACTTCAACATGTCCCCCCAAATAAAGTGAATGAACTAATAGGAAGCTACTTTTCTCAAACAAAAACATGGATTTCTTCCTTACACATGCAATGGCACAGATACAAAGAGCTTCGTTCATTTGCCCACCTCACCTCATCTTCATCATCATCAAAAAGTCCCTGTCCTTCCCTGAAGAGGCCACCTCTAGAGCCAAATGGTGAGAAGTCTTCATCAGTCAACTTGGGGGGTGGAAACAAGCTGTCCTCTTCATCTGACAGAAAGCAATGTTGCACAGGGAATGTTAAAATGGGTGTGCATGAGGTGGTGCCACACTGCCTGCAATCCCAGCATGCAGCAGGCTGAGGTAAAAGGAATCAAAGTTCAAGGACAGCCTGGGCGGGGGGTGGGATTGAGGCCAGCTTGGGCTACATAGGAATTCCAAACTAGCTTGGACTATACAGCAAGACTTTGCCTCAAAAATACTAGGATGAGGGGGGAAAAGCCAGGTTTGGAATCCAAATTCTTGGGGTTGTCTCTATACCATATACAGTGTTGGCATGGACTTTAATGAAGCCGCACTTCGAAAGGAGTATTTGACATCCTCAAGTGAGCAATATCTGGAGACAACAGTGATTCCTTAGGCCAATCTCTTAGAGTGACTTACTTCAAAGCAAGAATACAGCTCAACTGCCACATGCAAAAGTTTAGAGAAAGGAAACACAATCCTATAGATGGAGACAATGGCAAGGGAACACAATAGATGCCAACACTTAATATGGAAGGGTCGTATGCAATCTTTACTAAAAACTTTAACAACCCATAGTTCCTGCACATCTAAAAGCAATGCCTACTTTAGACTAGCAATTCAAATACTCCCAAGCATCACTCTGCACTCGCCTTTCTTCCATGCCGGCACCCTAAAACGTGGTTTCAGATACTTTAAGTGGGTGGAGACACACCTACTTGTCAACACTTAACCCTGAGACTTTTACATTACATAAAGGCTCCTAGTGAGTGAGGGGCTTACCATCTGGAGGTGTTCTCCTTTCCTTCTTCTCCTTCATTGTCTTCTGAAGTTTTCCATCTGCTGAGCATAAGATTTATGAGACTCTCCTAGCTTCTACAATACTCACCATTCTTCTTATACAGGTACTGATTCTCTGCTTGAGTCTGCATCCTCATAACACAGGCCAAGAGCAAGACACGAAAGTTCGTATCTCAGCTCCATTAGGGCACTTCCTCAAGGGAGTGTCTTTATAAGGCAGAAGGCTGCCCGGTCACCTGCATATCAGGACTGTGCTAAAGAAGAAATTACTCTACTTTTCTACTCTGTTAAATAACTAGAATGCACTGGATAATGCATTTTTACTAGTCAAAATTTAAGAGTTACTGGTAGGCCATGGATTCACAATCTGCAGTTCACAGTTCTCTGGGGCTCCTGCATGTAAAATGTTACATAGATATATACATGTACTGGTAGTGGGGTAGGATACTCAGAGCATCTGATTATCAAGCAGAACTTAAGAGCCATTAACATGGCTTAAAGCAATGGGTCTCGACCTGTGGATCTCAACCCCTTTAGGGTCAAATGACCCTTTCACAAGGGTCGCCTAATGCCACAGAAAACAGATATTTGTTATGATTCATAACAGTAGCAAAATTAATTATGAAATAGCAACAGAATTTTATAGTTGGGGTGACCATAACATGAGGAACCACATTGAGGTCTGCAGCATCAGGAAGGCTGAGAACCACTGGCTTAAAGGGTCAAAGTGCTTACCACTGGGCCTAACAACCAGACCCACAAGGCAGAAGGAGGGAGGAGAAAACCAACTCTGCACACACATCAAGGCATGCACATGGCCCCCACCAGGGTTAAATGAATAAAATGTAAAAGAACAACAATAAAGGAATCTAAAAAAACAATGACAAAAGATCAAGAACCAAAATGTCTGCCTAACATTGGCGAACCCTGTATTTGGGTATGGTGGCTTATGTTTATGATCCCAGCACTCAAAGAAGAAGGCAAGAAGATCAGGAATTCAAGACACCCTTCCTTGCCTGAATTGTATATTTAAGGCCAGCATGGAATATATGAGACCCTGTCTCCAAAAAAGAGAAAGAAAGAGACATAAACACAGAGAGACAGATAGAGAACATGTGTGTGAGCACACACAAGCAGACTACTGAACGCCACTAACCAACCACCCCATTAACCTGACTTCAGAACTCACCTATCTGTTCCTCTTTCAGCTGATTTGAGATATCTCCTTTGATCCGAGCTGCCAGCTCATCAGCAAAAGATGTAGGTCTTTTCTACAGGCAAAAAAAAGAAAGGAAAAGGAAAAAAAAAAAAGAATCACTATTTTCTAACAAATTAGTACAGTTTACTTCTTGACATCTAACAAAATTATATCAAGTCATAAAATAATAAAACTACAAATAAAACAGGGCTTTTTTTCTCTTTTAAGGTTTATTTTACTTTTATTTATGTGTGTGTGAAGACAGGTGCAAAAACAGGACTTTATCAATGAATTTAAACACATGGATCCTATAGAGCTAGGCTAAGCAACAAATTCACAAAACTACCTCTTTAAAGGAGATACTCTTAACTTCTTTATTTTTTAAAATACTTGAAAAAGCTAGAAAACCAGCATGAAGAATGGAGGGTGATGGAAGAGTACCTGAACTCAAAATTCTGAAACTGAATGTATATCCCCAGCGAGCTGACCTAGCATTAGAAGAAAACGGCACTCACAAGGCAACTGAAGACACAGGGACACTTACTGCTACTTATACAGCTATAAATCAAGGACAAGAGAAATGGTGCTCACTGCTCTTGCAGAGGACCTAAGGTTGGTTCCCATGTCAGGTGTCTCACAACCTAAACTCCAGCTCCAAGAAATCTGATACCCTCTTCTGGTCTTCCCAGGAACCCAACATATATGTGTGTTAATACAGTCACACAGATACGCCAAAAACACACTTAAAAAAATAAGACAAATCTTTAAAAGAAAAAAATTCAATTACAAATATGGGAGCTACAGAGATAGCTCAATCAGTACAATGCTTTCTGCATAAGCGTGAGAACCAGAGTCCAGAGCCTTGGAACTCACATGAAAAGCGAGAAGTGGCTATGTGTGCCTGTGATCTCAGAGCTGGGGAAACAGAGACAAGAGGATCCTGGGGCTTGTTGGCCAGCTAGTTTATCCTGGTAAGCCCCAGGTTCAGTGAGAGACCCTGAGTCTAAACAAGGGGGAGAACGACTGAGGAAGTCTTCCACCACGGACTTCCGGCTACACACACAATTACAAATCTGACGTAAGAGGAGATGACTACAGACCCAGATGGCGCTATTCAGGAGCAACGTGTAAACACCACTTCTAAGACCTCATCAAGGGATAACCACACTTACAGACTTGGCATTTTCCTCAATGTCCTCAATATCATCCCCCTCCTTCTCAGAGTCAACAAAAAGGTCACCATCATCATCCTCTTCTTCATCACTCATCTGTGTGGTATGCTGAGAATGCAAAACAGAATCACAAGATGCAAGTCATCAAACTGAAAAGGAGACACGGTCGATTTTTAATCTCTCCCTTTAAAAAGGATAACCACACTTCGAACACATATTCCACACGATTTATTTATTAGAAACTAGCTGGGCAGTGGTGGCCCATATCTTTAATCTCAGCAGGTAGAGGCAGGTGGAGCTCTCTGAGTTCAAGACTAGCCTGGCCTACAGAGTGAATTCTAGGACATCCAAGACTACACAGGAGAAAAACCTATCTATTTTGAAAAACCAAAAAATAAAGTAAAAAAAAAAGAAAGAAAAATAAAGGATTTACTTTTTATTTGTTTGTTTGTTTTGGTTTTTCAAGACAGGGTTTCTCTGTAGCCTTGGCTGACCTGGAACTCGCACTGTAGACCAGGCTGGCTTCAAACTCAGAGATTTGCCTGCCTTTACTTTTTTAACAAAATAAAGGTTCAAAAATATCAAAGCAAAGTATTAGAATATTGAAAATATTCATTATTAGAGGAATGTAAATTAGTCTTAACAAGAGCAGGAAGTGATGATTAAAAGGAGCTATTAAAAAGGAGTAAAATTTGGAAAAGGTAATACCCAAAGGAGGTGGCAAACCTAAATATATGACATACTAAGAGAAAACTAGCAGTGAGCATGAAAAATCCTCACTATAGCATTCAAAAGTCAGTTTAGGAGACTTGGGAGTATAAACATGGTACAGAGCTTGCCAAACACACCTGAGAGCCTAGGTTCACCCCTAGTGCCAAGCAGAAAGAACAGTAAGTTTAGTATACATGGGATGCTTCAGCTAAAGCTTTAAAATGAATTCATTTCAATACATGAGCTTTACCTGGTTTTGATCGTTGTCACTTCGACTAGCAAAATCTTCATCTGATTCCTGTGGGTGAAAATGTTTTGCTATTAACACAGAAAAGGTCACGTCCGTCTCTGAGGTAAGTTGACTGTGTGGGGCAGAGGAAAAGCTCTTACACTCAGTCACCTTAAGTAGCAGACAAGATGAATGACTGGCAATATTGCAAGAGTTGTCTAGCTGCCACAAAGTTTGTGTTTCATTTAAATAGCTCTCATTTACATCACTTGTATTTCCCAATTCTAAGCTTCAGATTTAAAGAAAGATCATTTGATTAATCAGAGGTTGGTTTGGGTTGCTTGACATTTTGGACCACAATCTCTGTGTTCCCTCTAGGAGGATAACTACTTCATTAAGCTCAAGAACTGAACATCAGTGTTTGCTACACTGATTTGGTAGAGGGCTACAATGACAGCTAAAAACAAAGGCCTCAGCAGATAATTATCTATAGTAAAGTAACAGGCAAGTTTATTTCTATTGCTAGCTAAGATTTCTATTGGCAGGGCTGGAGGAAGAAATGCAGGAGGGGGAGAGGGAGAACAATCAAGAAATGAAAATTAGGTGCAAAAATGGTCTCCTTTTAGAACCTCATACTCATCATTGTCTGAAGGAACAACTCAAGGCCCCAGACTCTAGATGAAGATTTTACTCTATGGATCTTAAGACACTAGCAAGCGAACATGAAGTAGATGCTTTGATTAGCTTTAAAACATTAAAAGAGTATACTTTTCTTGCAAGGGACTAGAGTTTGGTTCTTAGCACCTACATCAGGCAGCTCACAACTGCCTGTAACTCCAGTTCTAGGGATCTGACATTCTCTTCTACAGGCACCTGGGTGTGTGCACACACACACACATAACAGTAATAATAATCATGATGATAAATCTTTCAAAGTTGTTCATGAACATGCACGCACACATACTAATAAAAATAACAATAATAAAATCTTTAAAAGTTGTTTATTACAGCTCTTTATTTTTTTCTAGGATTATTCAAGAAGGACACATTTCAAGACTAAGTTTCTGGCAGAGACTGTACCACAGTGTCTAAGCTGTTCTCTCCTCAAAATATAATGGGACGTGAAGAAATTTGGTAGAACGGAGAGCAGGTGGGTAATGGTAATGCATTAGAGCAGTTTCCCTTACTTCTCTCTGTACAAATTACAAATAAGAATTTCAACTCTAAAAAAACACTTCAGATTCTGCCCCTTAAGTTTATAAAAACAGTTCACTAATTCTAAAGCATGTTACATGCCTAGCCTGCTCCACACATCCTAAGCATCCTGTCATCATGACGTACGTGGTCATACCATGTCCTTACCTCCTCTTCTTTCTCTTCTTCACTGTCCACAATACTTCCCCGGTTGCTGCCTACAGAGCCTTCTGTCAGGAAGAGTGTAAAAGTCAACATCAATTCACCAGAAAATATCTGTAGCTCCTTCTCAAAGATGCCAAGCACAACAGCATCAAAGAGGCTTTAATGAAGCAAGCGCCACTTAATGGAATGAAAGCATCTTTGTTACTGATACAATTTCAAAGCACCTCCCATGCTTTAAAAGAATTTCATAACTTGGCCTTATTCTACATGGATGTCAAGGTTACAAAAAAATGAAGAAACAGTATCAGACTAAAAGTTGACTAGCGATGACAGGTAAAGGCAATTGCCACCTGTCCTGAAGATTGAAGTTTAGTCTCTGGAACTCACATGATGGAACAGAGACTGACTCCCATAGGCTCTCCACACACACATACATTAAAAAAATAAATAAATAAACATAAAAAATTTAAATGAAATTAAAATAAAAGATGACTAGAGCAATTCAACAACTAGATGTTCCAAGTCTTAGACCAGAGAAGGTGATAGAGGTAGGAAAAGACAGAAATGGGACAAGAGACAAAATCTGAACACAACCAAAGAGGCTAACAGTAAAACTTCTTGAAATTGACCACTTTACAGTGTGGTTATGTTAAGAAAATGTCCTTGTTCTTAAAGAATATTAGGGTAATGGAGGGCCAGACAAATTATGATATACAGACAAAGAATGAAAGTTCAGAGTGAAACATTAGCTGGCAAACCTGAGTGAGGGTCTGTTGATCTCTCCACTGCTCTTGTCATGTTAATAGAAAGTTTTAATTATTTTAACACAAAGAGTTAAGCTACGTTAAACATGACAAAAATATTGGTGAGAAAGAATACCTTCACTGGAGAGCTCTCCAAGCCCTACATCTTCCTGTTCCATGAAGAGCTTTGACCCGATGAGATAGGGCAAAGGGCGGTCAATGTAGAGGTCCTTCAAGGAAGGAAAGGGCACAGCCATTAAGCACATGGGTTGAAATCATTCTGCTGCATCTGACTATCTCAAACAAGTTAAGGTGATACACAAAAGTAGAAAACAAGAAACATGGCAAGGTTAAACATCATTGATTTTTAAAACATTAAATTCTAGGTAAAGAGAACAGCAAAGCTGACTCCCTCCCCATATACCCCAGTGATAGAGACACTAGCAAGGCCTGGGAAAGGTTTACAGCAGTAACCAAATGAGGAAAATATAACCTCCCAAGAAAACGTTCCTAAGGAGGCCAAGGGATAGAAGCCTGAGAGCCATGTAAGGCCTACCCTCCCCTCCCCTTACTCAAAAGCAAGCACACAGAAAGCACAATACTGGTGGACCTCCCTTTGTAAACATACAAATTTACATACTAAAAATGTCTTCTGAACAGACAGCAATACTGCAAGTTCTAGGCCAGCCAAGACTACAACGTATGACTCTATCTTTAAAATTTTTTTAATTCTTTGGCTGACCAATACAACTTAAATACTACCTTACACATAAAAACACATACTTATTTTGAAAATCATCGATAATAGCTCAAAATTTTGAGAGAAACGAAGAAATAACCCAAATGTTATCAGATGCTGAGACAATAGTAGACAAACCCAGATTGGATGGAGCAGAGGGAACAAGACAAGGCACTACGAGGACTGGGAGGGATTTCTTAAGCCTGCAGCAGAGCAAAGAGAAGGCTGGCTTAGATGTCCATAAAGTAAAGTAGGGGACAATGTCACTAAGCAAATTATCTACAGTTAACACAACAAATTAAATAGTCCAAAGACTAAGGAGTAGAGTATCTGTTTGGGAGAAAACAGCAGCCTCAGAAACGGAAGAATACCGGCACCCCTACTCCCGGCTGACAACACTAAGCATTCAGAAAGGGACAGTGACAAAGTGAAGCCGTGAAGCCGGGTAACAGAGCAGCAGACATCGTGAAGGACCCTGCACAGCACCCATCCACAGCACACAAGAGCAGTGAAGGACTCTGCACAGCACCCACCCACAGCATACAAGTCAAACTTGAGAGCCAAGCCAGTATTCCACCTGGCAACTATGTCCCATTTCCACGGCAGGGGGTAAAGACTGGCTGTCCCTCTGAGACATTAGCCCTGGGCCACAGCCCCTCTCCTGGGGATCAAGAAGAAGTCTTACACCATTAGACCCACTGCTAACTTCCAAGAGGAAGCCTGTACAGGAAGTTCCTAGTGGCTTTACCTAACACCCCAAGCAACCAAACAAGCCAAATGCCTTTCTGAAATTTTCCTTAGTACGAGCCACAGAATATCTGCTCCTTAGGAGCTTCTCTATTCATCTAGCCCTAACCCAGAGCTCCTTTTCTACCCTAAAGTCTAGGAACAAAAGGGAGAGAGGCTGTTCAAAGGGCACAAAACTTCAGTTGGCCCAAACATGAGCTAAACAAGAATAACACCAATACCATCAAACATGCTAAACTGCACAGGGGGTGAAGGGTGGGGATTCCATGAGGCCTGAACCCTACACAAGTAACTACAGGCAACTGAGGAAAGCTGGGAGGGGGAAAGGTGGTCCTCCCCAGGGAAGAGCACACCAACTGGCTGTCCAGTGCCAAATGGTCAGCCCTGGAAACATACATACAAGTTAACATTACATGGACTCAACAGGTTATAAATAGGTATATATTAACAATGAAGACAGAGATCATGAATTTGAAGGAAAGCGGAGAGAGGTATAAAGATGAAAAGAAAAAGAGAAACAGTGTAATTAATTTATAATCTCAAAAAAAAAAAAACCCAAAAAATGTCAGAGGAAATAAGATCAATCTATAACAATAAAACATGTTGACTATAGTTAATAAAATGCACTGTATTTTTTAATCGTTGAGAGATTTTTAAGTATTCTCACCATGAATTAAGTACACAAGAACACACAAGTTAGAATAAGTTTATTCTACAACAAATGGACATTTCAAAACATGTACAAGATATATATGTGTGTGTGTATGTGTGTGTGTTTCTTTTATTGAAAATTAAAAATAAATAAAACTTCAGTTTTAAAATAAAAAATGAGCCACAAGATGACTGGGTGGGTAAAGGCCTGCAGACCAGAACCCGTGTGAAGTTAGGAGAAAAACTGACTCCAGAATTGTCCTCTCTCTGTCATGTGCCATGAGACATGCATATCCCCATACAAACAATTCAATGACAAGGTTTAAATATTAAAAAATTCAATTTGGCCAGGCAGTGGTGGTGCACACCTTTAATCCCAGCACCCGTGAGACAAGAGCAGGTGGATCTCTGTGAGTTTGAGGCCAGCCTGGTCTACAAAGCAAGTTCCAGGACAACCAGGAGTGTTACATAGAGAAATCATCCAGGGGGAAGAAAAAAAATAAAAAATTAAAAATAAATAAATAAATAAAGCCTAATAACAATAAATAAAATAAATTTTAAAAACTAACCAAATCCAATTAAAAAAAATCTCATCCTTCCCCTTAACTTCTTGGCTATAAGTCACTTTTGTCTCAGGGTTCTGAGGATGGTTGCTCATGTAGATGCCTCCTTTCCCACAGACAATACTAAAAACCTCAGAAGAGGAGGAGGTATGCCCTGCAACTTGTACCTACCATGTACCACAGAAATGCTCAGTGTGTCAAGTAAGGCTCTCAGAAAGAGTCAATCGGGAATGCCCATGCCTTACACACCCTACGCTGGGCAAAGCAGTCAAGACATCATAATACTGTAACTGAATGCCTTTACCTTTGGTTCAAGGATCAGTTCCACCCGCTCATTGGCATCATCTTCTTCAGAGTCCGAGTTCCCTGCCTTTATGTCAAGTTGCTCAAAGGCACTGTCCAGCACCTGTAAGCCATAGTTCACAGCCTCCCGGACTTTAGGGATCAGGTCTACTTCCTTCTGTTCCCGAGTCTTCTCCTACAAACAAAACAGCCTTCAGTGTGTCTCCAATATGAAACTCTAAAGTCATGCCCTCCTCCAAAACATTTCGTTCAAAATGTTAACAGAGTCACTTTCTGATACGGACTTCGGAGTAAATGTACAAGCTTTAATCTCAGTTTTGTCACTTTCTGGACATACATCAATCCACTTACACTTTAGAATTCCAATTTCTCCATCTGGAAAATCAGATGAACATTCAAATTAGAAACCAAAACTGAGTCTGTGAAAACACATTTGTGAAAAAAAAAATGTGCTTAATGACTCTTATCTATCTTTAGGCTAGCAGAGATAGAACCTGGGTTCTGACATGTGTTCGGCAAACACTCTGCCAATGAATTATTCCTCTAGTCCTGTGGCACTCAGAAAATACTTCACTACATACTACCCACTTTTAAATGTAATGCTGGCTTGATATAACCACATTATTGCATTTTGCTGAGTAGCAAATGCATGAGTACTATTAAAAATAAAATCCAAATTCCAACAAATGCCAGGAACAGGAAATCCACAGCTGGTTTCTAATATTCTAATCTAACAGCTTTGCTTCTTAATAGTTCTTAATAGACTATCAACCTTTGCAGGTGACTTCCACTTTTTCAGAGGAAGTCAGAGCTGACTGAAAGTAACTTCCACAATAAACATACTCAAATCTGCCTGCTTTCCTGAATGAGAGGAGGGGAGTACCTGCCAGAGCACACAAAAGTAAGGCCAGAACTCTTTCTTAGGTGTGGACACCCATGTGGGATAAGCAAGGATGTGTATGCACAGGCCACATGGCAAGCCACAGAAGAAGAGGTAGGAACTGCTGATCCTTGATCCCTTGGCCCACTTTTCAAAGCACACAGCCCTCATCAACTTTCTTCCTTTCCTTCTCTTTTCTGACCTCCACTAGCTCCCACAAACCCAGTCCACAGGGAGGGGATGAAGCTCAGTTGTAGAAAGCTTGCCCAATGTGCATGAGGCCCCACATGCAATCCCCGGTACTAAACACGTAACACAGCAACAACCTTAGTACAGGCTTTCTCTTATTGACATGGCCTCCCCACTGCCTTTTAGCTGTCCCTTCTTTCTTCATCTGGATAAAGTCTCATCCTTGAAGCTTTCCCCAGCTAGTTTAACAGCAAGTGTCTCTTTGTGTGAACTTCCAAAACAGCAACCATGCAATGCAGTTTGGATCAACAACCACCTATGGCCTCAACAATGAAACTGCTTGAGAGTGAGTGTCCTTAGTCATGGGTTCCCTGCAGTCCTATGACAGTCAACAACTGCTCACTGGGGAGTCCATTCTGTCCGAACACAGCTTGTAGTACCCATGGGGTCCTCAACTGTGCATGCACTAAAACTATATTCACCTTACTATCTAATTTTCATCTGCCAGAACAAGAGTAAAACAGTCACAAAGTTGGGGAAACTGGGTCTCCCAGGCCTCAATTCGTTTCCTCATTCATTTCCCAAGCACAGTACATGGCCTGTTTCTGTAGAAACTTTGAGGAAGAGTGGCTTCTAGATCTGTAAAGGGGAGGAAGAGGAAGAGGAGGAAAGAGAGGAAGAAAGGGAGAGAGAAGGGAGGAAGTAGGGGAAGAAGACAAAGCTTCCTCTGGGGCCTGCAATCCTGGGCTACCTACCCTGTGCCCTCTGCTCTACTCTACTCTATGCCAGAATTCAGAAATTTCATCTCCATATTAACAGCCTAAGCTTCAGAAAAAAATGGAAGAGTTCTATTGGGCTACTGCCAAAGGCAGCATCTCCCACAGCCCTAGTCCTATCACCCTCTTTATCACTTCTCAAAGTCGGTCATTCAAAGATAGGATGATTTACTACAAGTACCTGTTGGGTTTTCTCGGCCTCAGCCTTGAGTGCCTGCTCCTCCACTTCTTCATCGTATACCCGCTGAGTAAGGAAGCAAATTCATTAAATAGTTAAGCACTGAAATGGAATCACATGTAAAAGGTCAATACAAAGAAGAATTTTTTGAAAGAGGGAAATGGCTGGGTGGTGGTGGCGCATGCCTTTAATCCCAGCACTCAGGAGGCAGAGGCAGGTGGATCTTTGTGAGTTCGAGGCCAACCTGGTCTACAGAGTGAGATCCAGGACAGCCAGAGATACACAGAGAAACCCTGTCTCGAAAAACCAAAAAAAAAAAAAAAAAAAAAGAGGGAAATGGCTTTGAGAAAAACAACTGGGACCACTACCAATGGATCGTGGACGAATAACAAAGAACAGTAGCTAATTCACCTAAAGTCAATTTTAAACCTAAAGAAACATGGGGAACTATCTGGCTGATCAAAGAGTTCTGAAACCACTATGAGCCCAACTGGTACATTTTTTCCACTTAACCTAATGCATAACTCTAACAGGGCCACAATACAAGTACCTTCGTCCAAGACCACTGCCAGTATCAACTGATATAACTTACCAACTAGATAAATATCCTTAACAAGTGAAGTAAGGAATATGATAATGGTAAATTTACTTTTATTCTGTTGCTCAAAATGGCTGAAAATTTTTTATACTTATCTCTTATGAATCAAGAAAAAAAGTCAAAATCAACAATTTACTAGAAGATGCATGGCCAAGGAAGAACCTCTTTAATAAGACGTATCTGTCATTCTGGAAACTCACTGCAATTTTAAAAAAAAAAAAACAAAACTGGAGTATAACATCTTTGCTACAAAAAAAATCAATGTAAGTGGGTATGATGGCTAATCCTGGTTGTCAATTTGACTGTATTGGACATCAACTAAAACCCAAGCTGCTGGAAAATCCTGTGACGAATTTTCTTGATCTTCTTCTTTGAAGCAGGAAGATCCACCCAGGATCTGGACCATACTTTCTGGTGGCAGCCCACATAAAAGGACAAGGAAGAAGGAAACTTGCTTTTTGCTCACTTGTCCTCACTCTTGCTGGCAAGTCCATCTATCCTGTTCCTAAGGCATTCTTTTGCTAGTGTTAGAAACAGCTTCTTCAGGGTTCTAGGAGACTGAAGATCAGCTGCTCTCCAGCAATCATCCAGGCCTCCAGCACCAGATGGGGACTGCTGGGATAGCCAAGCTCCTGGACTGAATAGCTACTACATTCTCAAACCTTTCAATGCTGACAGTCATTGCTGGGACTGTCTAAACCACAGCCTGTAAACCAACCTAATAAATCCTCTTTTAATAAATACGTTCATCCTATCAGTTCTGTTCCTTTAGAGAACCCTGACTTACAAAGTAGGACAATGAAATTGTTCTGTAATGAGCAATAGGGTTACAAAAGTTTATGAATATAATGAAGCACACTGAGCTGCACTTTAAAAAAAAAACTACCTAAATCATTTAAAAATTGTTTAGGTAATACAGGCTCAATACTCCTTATCTGAAGTTTTTAAATTTGCAATTTTTAGAATATTTGCAAAACTTTATGAGCATCACTAATGAAAAAATCCAAAATTTAAAGCTGAGGCACACGAAGTTCCAGATTTCATTTTATTTCATTTCATTTTGGAGTAAGTATAAGCAACCTGTGCCCTTGAGAACCAGATGGGAAGACCCTATTGCTGAGGACACAACACACTTGGGTTGTGGTACATAGAGAAATCGGCTGGAAATAGGCGGGACATGTCCTCTTTGCTGTGTAACTTGCACAGAGCTGAAAGATACCGTGCAAGTGACCACTTGGGAAAACAAGAAGCAATGTCCTCCCCAGAGGTAGACATTGTGCACAACAATACCAACCTGAGTGGCATGACGGCTCTGGTGATGACCAACTGCTTTCTAACTGGGTCTGAGGCCTATTCGACAAGAGGGAATTAAAGCCATGTTCTGTAAACCAGGTCAAAAGCCCATGCTTGCGAGGTCAGAGGCCATAAAGTTTGGACCTACTACTACTACTGTTTTTGCTAAAATGACACATTGTTAAAATATCTTCTAAATGTTTATACACATAGGCTAGGGCTATTCTCAATCTTGGTCAGAATTGTCAAATTCACAGAGGAAAGTTAAAAACCCAAAATAAAATAATGATGACTATTTCTGAATATAAAGAAGTTATGAGTAGTTGACCATGGTGGTTCATGCTTACAGCCCAACTTTCAGCAATCTAAAGCAGAAGATGGTGAATTCATGGCTAGTTTAGGCAACAAGATTCCATCTGAAAAAAGTTGTTAAAGCAACCTGCCCTACTAAGTATATTATTATGATATTTAAGAGCATGCAGTAAAGAACAAAGAAAACTACATGGAAGACTAAGTTTACGTTCACATAAACATACACACAGGTCAGCGAGGAAAGAAGAGCTACATAATCACAGTTATCTTTATGTGCACTCACACACACCCATAAATATATACTCCCAGGGAATAAAAAATAAAAATGCAGAGATACAAGCATCCTTGCCCAAAAAGATTACAGTTGAGAGGAAGTAAAGGAAATGGGGAGAGAGGAGGTTGGTTCCTGTGAAAACAAATATTGAACAAAATTAAAATCTGGTAAATTAGTTCTAGCTGCTGTACATTCTTATCATGTGTAGTTATTCTCTGTAGCAGGACACTCAGGAGCACCAAGGCTACTCTATCAACAAATGAAATAGTTCATAAGAAGCTGACAGCAGAATGTTAGATTGGTACAGTCCTATAACGGGAGTAAGAATAGGTTCATAAGACAGGTGGCCTCTAATCCCAGCACTGGGAAACAGCAGGAGGATCAGGAGTTGAAACTCATCCCCGACAACATAGGGAGTTTGAAGTCAGCCTAGGCTACGTGAGACCTTGTCTCAAAAGAAAAGAAGAATTAAATTCATAAAAGCCTCAAAGCTGTGTAAAAATGATTTTAACATTAAGAAATATGCAGGTTGCAAATGCACACACTTCTGTGCATGTGCACATACACACACACACACACACACACACACAGGGAGAGAGAGAGAGAGAGAGAGAGAGAGAGAGAGAGACAGAGAGAGAGAGAGAGTGAGTGTCATCCAGACTAGAGAGAAATACAAAATAACATTCACTAGCTGATTAATGTCTGCGTGAGAGCAGACCTAGAACATTGTCCCCAGCTTCCCCAGATGACTTTTCTTGCTCTTACTTTTCCTCCTAACTGTCCTACACCAAACATTACCAAACATTTCCAATATGAGAACAAAAAAGTACATGAACCTTAGGGGGAGATTTTTAAGATAGGGAAGCTACTGTAGCTGTTTCAAATTTGTACGGCAAGACCTCTAACCTGAAAAGGCTGAGTTTCTGACTAAAGTCTAAGACCGTCAACACCCAGCTTCCCCACGCCATCACTAGAATCTACCCCCAAGATGTCAGCATCCTGGGGCTGGTAAGACCAACGTGACATCTAAAACACCAAGCGGTTTGGAAAGACCTGAAGTCCATGAGATGGTTGAGGGTGGAAGTGCTCAGGAACATCAGATCATCACTATAACTTCCTTCCCCAGGCTGATCTCACAGCTTTACTTCATGAGCATTCAGATAGTTCTATACTAGAACTGTTACATACCTTTGGTATTTGTCCTCACAGAAACTCTTCCTCCTCTGGAGAAGTGGGGTACATGCCATAGGGAACAAGTGAAAAGGACAGGACAGATTTTCTGTTGCTGTTGGTGGTGTTGTTTTAACAATTACACACAGACCTGGTTCTTTTCCTTATATATGTTCTCTCATTCAATTATTTAAACATTCAAGGTCTCTATGTATCCAGATTGTGCTAAGATCTACGAATATGTTTAGCTAGATCCTAAGGCTTGTTTAGTAACTTTAAAAGTAGGGTTGCTAAGAAATAATGTGTACTTACATGAAAATGCCATATAACACAGTACCACATACAATGCAAATATACAATGAAAAAAAATTTTAATTAAGACTGTTAGACTGCTAATAAATGACATGGGGACTGGGTATGGTGGCTTATGCTTTTAAGGAGGCAGAAACAAGCAGATCTCCATGAATTCAAGGCCAGCTAGGTCTATATATATATATATCAAGTTCCAGCCAACCAGGCTAAATGGTGAGGCCTTGTTTCAATAATAATAATAATAGTAGTAGTAGTAGTAGTAGTAGTAGTAGTAGTAGTAGTAAGACATGGGATGCTTCAAGAGCTCTTAACAAGAGGTACTGCCTTGTAGAGGCTCAGGGTGAATCTGGTAAACAGACAGATGAAATCAAAGGACATACAAAGCAATCTAAACAAAAGCCTGTAGCAAGGCACTCAGGAGCGCCAAGGCTACTCTGTCAAAAGCAAAGGCCAACATATGTAAAAATAAAGCAGGTTGGTGGAGGGGACATCATGCGCGTGGTATTATAGCAGGTATGATTTTGAGCTTTAGCCTCAAATTGTTGATTTTCTGACAGTTTAGCAATGACATCTGTTTCTTTAAAAAATAAGGGGGGAGGTTGAAAAGGAAGAAAATGATGGAAACATAGTTTTGATAATTAACAGAACAATCTTGAAAAAATTAAATTGTTTCTTCTTGAATTTTTTTCCAGAAAGCTAAAAATTCTTTAACAATTGGCTTTAAATAAAAACTCCTTATGATCATTTAGCAAACTAAAGTCATTAACGAGGACTGCTAAATCTAAGGTCAGGATGGAAACTGTCTTAAAAAAAGTGGGGGTGGGGGAAGGGCTGCCTTAAGAACTGGGTCTCTTTCTGCTGAGCCACTAAAGACAGGCCAGCACTAATGAGCTGTTCTCTCTCAGGATTCCCTCTTGAGCCCTTACTAATAGTCCTACATAGCTTCCATTTCCCTCAAAAGTCCTCACTGTTCTATTGCCCTAGAAAGCCCAGTTTGCTTCACTAATTCTAAAATGGAGTTTGCAATTATGGGGCTGCCTCTGAGACTAACAAAACCCAACTGACTTCAAATAATGTCTCAAAAGAATTTCCACAAACCTAAATAACAGCAGCATCCTAGAGTGAACAGTAGGACAATGTCAGGGTTTGAAGAAAATACACAGGAGAGCAGCAAATGCAACAGGTATTTCTGTCATGTTGATTTTCTTCTTTTCAGTTTCCTTAAGCACTAGCGATGCTCTGAACATCATTAGCTGCTCCCACAAATGGGAAGAAGCTGTACCGTGTGGCATTACAGAAGGTCTTGGAAGCAGTTACATTTGGTATGGCACCAACGCACTCAGGAAGAAAGGTGACGGCGGACTGGGAGGGGAGAGGAGTAAGGACTTATCATCAAGGAAAGATGGATGGAAATATAGAATCCACAAAAGCAGACATGAAGAACAAAGTTTTCAAAAAGTCTAAGCTGTAGAAAAGTCTAAGGGAACTTTGCCAGAAGAAGCTGGAAGAGGTGGAGAGGATCTAATTCAAGTCTGTGATCAGAAAATGAAGTTTACGATGCTGCCTCCTCCTCCTGAAAAAGTGAGATCTGGCACCATTCTGGTGCAGGCACATTGAGTACAAAAGAAAACTTCCTGCTCCTTGCCTGATCTACAGCTGCAGCAGTAAGTGCAAGAAGAGCTGAGAATCTGATGTAGCAAGAAAGGCTCACAATGAGAGCGGCACAAGTAAGAACATCCAATCCCAGTGGGGGAGGGGAGGACGACTGCTGTCATCCCCTAACTGACCCTTCCAGAGAGATAAATGCTCAAGTTGACCATGCAGGTTCTGTGCACATCAGAAATGTCTTCAGGTTGAGCATGCCAATCCAAAACCCTAAAATACAAAACTTTCTGAGCACTGACATGACATTCAAAAGTTTTCGACAGGGGGTTGTTTCAGTTTAGGGATGCTGAACCTGTAAGGTCTGCACAGAAACTACATCTTAGAAATCTGACATCTGAACAACTTCTAGTCCCAAGAATCCCAGACAGATAAGGTACATTAAGTCTGTACTGGGTTTACTTGAATACATCTAATGTTTCAAAATCAATGTTTCCCTTTGCCAGTTAAGAAAATAACTGGTGGGGTAGTCAACTCAATGAGCCAGCTAGTCTGGCACATGCGGTGGTAAACAAAGAGCCCTCACCAAATCCCATGTCTCAAACACGATGGAACGTGAGCTAAGTCACTTCAGTTAGGGATACTAAATTACGCAAACACGCTACAGCAACAGCCCACATGGAACTCTGGTATTTTTACAATCCTAAATCATGGGCTTTACGATCTTAATCATTTTGGAAATTATGTTTAGTCCTTTACACCTAACAATTTCAGGATACAGCTTACTTTAGTAATTCTCTTCTCACTGCTGGGTGTAGGACTGTATGCCTGTAATCCCAGTACTTGAGATGCAGAGGTGAGAATTTCCAGGTGAGTTCAAGGGAAGCTTGGTCTACATAGCAAGTTCCAGATCAGTCAGAACTAATGATGAGCAAAAACCAGAAACAAAAAAAACAAAAAACCAATCCCCCCCCAGAAAATGCCTTTTCACAAATTAATTCAGAAAGACATTCTTTGACCGTGTGAACTAAGCTTCCTCTCCATTCTCGTAACAGCCTTCCTTCGCTCGACTGGCTTCAGGCATACGTGTTTCTTTTCTATCATAGCTTTACCAAGATACTTACTTTACCTGTGTATTCCTGGCAGCTCACAGACACTCACTATGAAAACAAAGCTCACAGGTGCTTTAAAGCTCAGCATCATGTTTACTGCCGATTCTGCCACAGATTCAGCCACGTTATGAAAATTGTAGTTGACAAAACGCCAAGTAAACATCTGCCTCCACTTATAGAACTGATCAAAACATAAAGGACCCAATCAATAACTGCAGGCAAAGTGGTGCTCAAATGGTCAGGTCAGGTATACGGCTGATCTTACCAAATGTGCACAGCAGCTTTGGGGAGAGGCACACAATTCAGCTCAACTGTCCGTTGCCCTCAAAACTAGAAACAGAAAAACCAGACCGAGGCAAACCTTACCATTAGTTTTGTTTTTGTTTTTGTGTTGTTTTTTTTTTTTAAGGAAAGCCAAAAACTTTACTAATAAAAGACACTGATTCTAGAAAAAGGAGCTTCAGTTACCAAGAATGAATCTATCCACCAAAACTTAGGGAAAAAACGAACTATCATTTCAAATTACCTTAGCTCTTACTCCCCAAAAGGGATTATTTGCTAAGTCAGATGTAATAAAAACAACTCACATTCTCAATGAACTGGGTATTCGACAGCATGAGGAAGTCATTGAAGACATTATGCAGACGACAATGTGTCGCTTTGGTCTCCTGAATTAATCCATCCACCTGTTTCTTGATTTCATGGGTCCTGGAGATAGTCTGCTGTGAGAATTCCTGTAGAAACTGTAGTAGCTATTTTGAAAAGGAACATACAGAAGTGTCAACATTACATGTAGGGCAAAAGAAACAAACAACAACAACAAAAAAAAACCCTTTCCCTTTCACCCAGGTGTTATGTAAAAGGAATGATACTTTTGATCTAAAGTCAAGTGACACTGAAAAGCATTAAGAAAGTTCTTCAGGCAAGTGCATCCATCCCACAAACACTTTTAGCACATTTCTAAAGGGATTTATAGGCCTATTTGGTTGTCACTCTCCAGAGAACACATTGTGTAACATAACAAAACACCCCAAATCCTATTTTTATGGAATTGTGAAACTGAAAGCTCTGAGCTCTCGGGTTCCCGAAGTGAGGAGTCCTACTCAAGAATATGTGTTGCCCCATTTAGCCCAAATTCCAATACAGAAGCGCTTCCGTAGAGTCAGCAATCCTTGAACAGGGCAGAAAGGGTTCTGGACAGCAGGATGGTGTGGAGGGCAAGGCTGGAAAGTGTCAGCACCGAAGGAAACCCGCGTCTGCGCGACAGAGTGCTGGGTAGAAGCCCACAGGGCCGCCCCTCCCGGGTGTCCGGGACTGCGCCTTTGAATTACAGGAAGGCGTCCCCTCGGCTGCAGGGTAACCGCAGCTCTGGCCCTCCCTGGACCCAGGGCCCTGCGCTCACACCCGCGTCGGCCGCCAGCGACCAGTTCTGGCTGCTGCGGCGGATCTCCTCCACCGACCAGGGCCGCTCCCACACGGGCTCGGACGCCGGAGGCCGCTCCGAGTCGGGGCTCGTCCCGTTCATCTGCAGCGGGAAGGACGAGAAGAAGCGCTGAGTCTGGGACGGAGGAAGCTCCAGCCCTGCCTCCCGGGGCCACCGTCCTCACCACAATGGCACCGCCACTCAGCAAGCTCCAAAGTCACTACCGGAGACCCTACTACACCGTCCACCCAGCGCTGTGGGGTCACGTGGTCCGCGTCACGTGATGACGCCCGCACGTGACCAGACACGCAGCCACCAAGACAGAGCTGTTGGTGTACAGCTTCGCAGTAATTGGGATGTGTGTTTGTCTATAGAGAAGATGCTGAGGCGGCCAACTCCAGGGGTGCGAAAAGAGATGGGTGGTACCAGTGGGTAATCCTGTGGCCTACCAGTGGGAGGCCGAAGGGCAAGAAGACGGGAAGCGGACGACTTCCCTGCTGCTTAGCGGCTTTGCTGAACACGCAAATGGTGTGTGATTGGCCCACAGACTCAGTGAACTTCAGATGTCCTACACCTAAGCTAACCTGCTTGGTTTCGATCTAGTGTACATCCGCTTAAAATTCTTTACCCTCAGGTCAGATTCAAGACCACTTTCCACACTGTCGCAGGCAGGAAAAACGGGAAGGTAGAAATCCGAAACTCTGGCTACCCACTAGCACTTCTGGTGAATACAGACTCCCCTCTCTGAGTTGTTCTTGCCCAGACAGACTTTCAGAAATAACCCCGTATCTTTCCTTCTGTGCCCATGGACAAGTTACTTAGCTTCTCTGAGCTTTCCTCCACATATAAAAGATGTATATCTTGCCAGAAGTGATAATATATGTAAAACAGATAGTACCTGGTATATGGTGAGTGGTTACTCTAGATCTTATCAGTCCCCCTGTACAGCTTATTTTTCCTTTTGGATTTTGCTTTGTGATCACCTCCATTGGCACCTCATTAAAGATTTCTCTTTGGTATAAAACTAAGGCAAATGATAACGTGCTCAGAGAAAAACTCGTGCAAGAATGTCCACTATAGTGCTAATCCTCATCAAAGCAGAAGCAACTTAAATGTCCATCAGGTGATGGATGGATGTACAAAATGTTGTGGAACCACACGATGGCCTATTATTTACCAAAAAGAAATAAAGTGCTGATATATGATAGGACATGAGTTGACCTAGAAAATACATTAATTGAAGAAGTCAGCCATATATGATCACAGATTATATGATTCTATTTATATGAAATGTCCAGAATGGACCCAGAGAGAAGTAGGTTGGCGGTTACTAGGGGTTGAGGGGAGACAGGAATTGAGAGTTAACTGCGAATGGGCATGGGGTTCCTTTTTGAGGTAATGAAAATGTTAGACTGTGGTGATGGTGTTCAACTCTCAAAATACTAAAGATTCTTGAAATGTGTATTTTGAAGGGAGTGATTTTGTTATGTAAATTATATCCCAATAAAACTACTCTGAAGTAGGAAGTGAGGATTAGGATTACTATTAAAGTTAGGGTTAAAGGTGTCTCCCTAGCATAGTCTGCAATGAGCTACTAAAGCTAGGGTTACGTTAGCATTAGTGCGATGATTACAGTGTTATTGTTAGGGACAGCATTAAGATGATGCTTGGGGTTACGGCTAGTATTAGAGTGCTGCTTGGGTTAGGTTGAGATTAGGGTTAGGGTCAGGATACTGCAGTATTCTTCATATTAGTTTTAGGGCTAGAGATTAAGCAAGTAAGTATTGCAGATAGGCATTATAGTTAGGGATACAATAGCTATTATGGTTAGGATTGGAGCTAGTGTTAAGTTTACAATAGGGTTAAGTTTGGTGTTAGGGTTATGACTAGCATTAGTGATACCATTAGTGATTGTCTTAGTTGGGGTTTCTATTACTGTGAATAGACACCCATGACCACTCTTATATAGGAAAACATTTAATTGGTGCTGATTTACAGTTTCAGAGGTTTGGTCCATGGTGGGAAGCATGGTGGCACACAGGCAGATGTGGTGCTGTAGAAGGAACTAAGAATTCTACATCTGGATCCACAGGCAGCAGGAAGTGACAGTGACACACTGGCCAGGCTTGAGTTCCTGAGACCTCAAAGCCCACCCCCTAGTAACACATCTCCTACAACAAGGCCACACCTCCTAATAGTGCCCCTCCCTATGGCCAAACATTCAAACACATGAGTCTATGGGGGCTGTTCCCATTCAAACCATCACAGTAATATTGTTGGGTTTAGGGTTAAGGTAAATTTTTTAGTTACTTTTCTGTCGTTAAGATAAAAATTGTCTCAAAGGCAACTCATAAAAGGAAGGGTTATGGTTAGGATTTAGTGTTATGGTTAATGCTAAGATAGTTGTGCATTAGAGTTAGGGTTATGGTATTATTAGTATTAGGGTGAGTGCTACGGATGATGGATTAATTGGAATTAGACTTAGGGTAGGCTTAAGATTCATTATAGGAGCCAGGTGTGGTAGCAAATGCCTTTAATCCCAGCACTCAGGAGACAGAGGCAGGCAGATCTCTGAGTTCGAGGCCAGTCTGGTCTATAGAGCAAGTTCTAGGACAGCAAGGACTACAAAGAGAAACCTTGTCTAAAAAAAAAAAAAATTAGAATACAGTTGGATGTGGTCATACCCTTTAGTCCTATTACTTGAGAAGCAGAGGTAGGCAGATAAACTCTGAGTTTGAGGTCTAACTTCTCTATATATCAAGTTCCAGTCCAGTCAGGGCTACATAATGATATGCTGTCTCAAAAAAAAGTTATAGTTAGGGATAGGATTATGGTTAGGCTCAGGGTTAAGGCTCAGCATTAGATTAAGAGTTAGGGGTTAGGGTTAGAGTCTAGGATTAGTTATGGTTAGATATAGTGGTAACTTTTAAACATAACCCTAAACCCTAAATATAATATTAAGCCTAACCAGAACCCTAATACTAACCCTAACTCCATCCCTAGCCATCACTCTAATTCTAACCCTACCCCAATCCTAACCGTATTGCTAAATCTAATCTTAACTTTAACCATTATCCTAAACCATAGTCATAATTATAATCTTAATCAGATCACCACCATACATAAAATTAACCATAATCATATTGTTAGTCTTAACCCTAACCCTGAACCTAAGGATACACCAAATGGAAACATTAATCCTAAACCAAATGCTAACCCTAATCATACCTTAAGCCTAACTTACTGCCTTAGTTAGGGGGCTATCGCTGTGATGAAACACCATAACCAAAAGCAACTTGGGGAGGAAAGCGTTTATTTCACTCACACTTCTATACAACAGTTCATCATCAAAAGCAGTGAGGGCAGGAACCCAAGCAGGGCAGGAACCCGGCGGCAGGAGCTGATGCAGAGGCCTTGGAGGAGTGCTGCTTACTGACTGGCTTGCTCAGCTGGTTTTCCTATAGAACCCAGAGGCACCACCCCAGGGGTGGCCTCATCCACAATGGACTGGGCCCGCCCCCAAGGATTACTAATTTTAAAAAAAGTCCTATAGGCTTGCCTATCGCCCAATCTTATGGAGTTATTTTCTCAAGTTGAAGCTTCCTCTTCTCTGATGACTCTAGCTCATGTCCAGTTGACACAAAACTAGCCAGTACATTTACCCTAATCATAATTATTACTCCGACATGATCCCCAAATCTAACCCTAACATTAATGTTAGACATAATCCTAAACTGAGTCCTAATCAAAACCATGAGCCTAACCCTAAACTTATGTGTAACAGCAAATCCACCCTCACATTATTCATAACCCTAACAAACCCCTTCCTCTATTGTAATTGTGACACTAACTGTCGGCATAGATCCAACCCAATTGAAACCATGATCATGACCTTAATACTAACCCTAACAAAAATGATAAACCTAACCCTTATGGTAATCCAGACCCCAACACAAACCCTATCTCTAACCTAATCCTACATCTTAAAGTAATTAGAACCTGAAAATTCACGGTAACCACAATTGTAACCCAAATCCTACTGTACAGATCCTAATCTTGCACCCTAACCCTTAACCTAAACTCTAACCCTCTAACAGTAAACGAACCCTAATTTCTCACCTTATTCCCTAACTTGTATTTACTAACCCTCTCATAGGCAGGCCTCTACGCACAATTTTAAAAACACATGTATTTCCTAGCTTGTAATAGATGGGTATATATGCACAGGTTCACATGTACCTGTATTTACTAGCTCTATCATAGGTAGGAATATATTCACTGGTATAAACACACACACACACACACACACACACACACACACACACACACACACACAAATGCATTTTCTAGTTCTGTCATAGGTCAACCTGTACGAATACATTCATATGCAAGCAGTTTTAAAGTATGGTCATATGTTGGCCTGTATGTGCATGTCACAGGCAATGATTATCTGTGCATGGTCACATGTCAGTGCGTACAGACATGTTCCTACATATGCACTTTCCAAGCCCTGTCATATGTTGGCATATATTAGCATGTTCCCATACATGCTATTCCTGATCACTCACATATGGTACCATGTTCATACATGTTCACACTCAGGCAGTTTCTGAGCACTCTCATAAGGTTTACATAATGGGTTTCAGGCATGCCAGGCTAATAGTGAGATTCTGTCAAAAAGAAAGAAAGAAAGAAAGAAAGAAAGAAAGAAAGAAAGAAAGAAAGAAAGAAAGAAAGAAGGAAGGAAGGAAGGAAAGAAACTAAGACAGAAAGAAAGAAAGGAAAGTTTGTGCCTGAAAATGTAGCTAAGTTCATAGAAGGTTGCCTTGTATACATGAAATCCTGGGTTTGATCCTCAGCACTTCATAAGCCAGTGTAGTGGCACATACTTACAATCCCAGCACTAGAGAGGTAGACAGGAGGACCATGAATGCAAGGTCATCCTTGGCTACATTTTGAGTTTGAGGCCAGCCTGAGCTACATGAGATTGTTTCATTTGTTTTCAAATTTTAGGCATGAAAGACATTATCACGAGAATAAAAAGGCAATTACAGTTTGGAATAAAACGTTTGTACATCAAATATCTGATAAGCATGGTTCTTAGAGATTAGGGCAGGGGGGTCTTGAATTTGAGACCAGTTTGGGATATATAGTAAGTACCAGTCCAGCCAAGAGCTACATAGCAAAACCCTCTCAAAAACAAAAAAACAACAACAAAAAACCCAACAATGAACATAAACAGGGAAGATGGCTAAGAGCACGAAGTATCTACAATATGACATAATCAATAAGCAGACATGG